GCTCCTCACTATGGTGGCCAAAAAGGTGCTCATTTCCACAGAAATAGCTACAGCTGTTTGCTTTATTAACCTGCAGTGATTTCTTTCGCACATGACCTTTCAATCAGAAACCTTTATTGTTATTGTTGTTTTCAAGTCTTTCTAGAAGTAACTGAAAAAGCATGAACTGAAATCTAGATGTAAATGTCATGGCACAGTAGGAGGTTCCTTTTTAGTTTTTCAAATTGTATTCTACATTCTGATACCAGAAAATATTGGACCAGTTTTGATCCCAAGCATAATGGATATTGATCTATGCTTTATAAACAAATTTTGCTCAATTTTAATTTTATAAATGACATGTTAGGTTTTTGTTTGGGATAACACATTTGCAAAAATAACACTTGGTTTTTGTTTGGAACAACACATTTGCAAAAGGAAAACTTCTCTAAGTAAATGGAGGCTCATCAACATATTACATATATGAGAATCTCTATAAAACAAGTTTTGGCTAATGAATTTTTGTTCAAGGTTACAAATTTTGAAATAAATTGTTTCATTAAAATTTGACTGTATAAGTTATGTTTGCATGCATTTTAAGTGGTGTTTAAGAAATCTTGGTTTCTTTTTGAAACTTAAGTGTCTGGATTGTTATAGGGCAGGTTTCTTGCACAGCTACTAAAAATTTCCATCATGATCATAATTTGAACACATGGAACTTCAAAAAAATTCTAAGGATGTTTGTTATAAGTGCAGACACCACATTCTAAATGTAGCAAATGATTGATTTCTTTCTTGGTTGATGGTATTATGTTCAATTCCATTAAAAGCATTTTATTTAAGAAGGTTCCAGCCAGTTTAATATTTTATGAATTACTGTTGTTATGGAGAGACTTGCAGTCTTGCAGTGCTATGGTGCTCCCAATAAGTTGTAAAAAGATTATAGACCTCCAGAAATATTATTTACAATAAATAAATTGTCCTGTCTACTATCATTAGCAATGGAGAGGTTTTTTTCGGTTGATTGGTTTGCTTCATTATTTTTATATTTTTTTAATAGGAATTGCCTTATCTGCTTTAGCAGCTTTCTCACCGCTCTTGCAGATTTTTAGAAAAGCCATATCTAGTAGGAAATGGAGCTTATAATTTTTAGCATAAAAATATGTATAATCAAAATAAGACATTTCTTCGTTAAAATGTATTTATCTTCTGTCCACTGACCTAAAGAGCTTTGACAGACAATAAAATTTTAAAAAAATGCTCCCTGAAAGAGTAAATCTCTGAAAATTTGTGGAATTTTGTAGATTACGTTGCTAATTATTCAATATTAGGAGAGAGTCTTAAAAGTTTTTTCGTTCTTAACTTAATACCAAATTTAGCTATATATGCTTCTAGTGCAGATAAAGAATGACACTCTTAAGAGGGGAAAAATAAAACTTTGTCAAAATTTCAAACCAATTGAAAGGCGGTTTCACTTCGTAGTTTGTTCTGCGAAATAATGAAGTGAAAATACATCTTATTGAGAGTCTTTAATCACTTGTTTTAAATGGGGACCTTTCTTGAACTGAAGTAATTTACAACATAGAAAATTCAAACTATTGTTTTCTTTGATAAAGAGAACAATAAAATCGGTAGAAGTAATTTTATATTTCCCAAACATAGAAAATTCAAACTAGCATCATTATATTTCCCAAGTAATTTTCCTATCTAGGTGATACCTGCTTCGTATTGTTCACGTCGCTACACTCTTTTATCATTTCATCACTATAATAGGTTATCTGTTATCTGCTTGATTGATATCAAATCCTTAAACGGATTGGATACGGCGCAACAATGACAACTACATATTGAATGGTCGCATAATTTATGAAAAGCATGCATATGGCACATTTGTAATTCTTGCTATCTCGAGTATCAGGGTCTATGTGTTAATAAAACAGGAGCCTAGTGTAGGAATGTGAAATCCTAACAGGTTTTAGTATCAAGCACCACAAATTCCAAACAATTCATCTTGCTGTGGCAGAGATATGGGATGCACTCCGAGCTGCAGCGGAAGCTGATATAAACCTTGCACAAGCTATAGTGGACAGTGCAGGCATAATTATTTCAAATGCTGACATGACTCTCTGCTATGATGAAAGAGGTGAGAACAATCTTTTGTCACGTTCGTCTTTTACACACTTTGATTATTGCATGTGCAAAATTCTTCCTCTTCCTCCATTGCAGGTGCAAAATATGAACTACCGAAGTATGTTTTGAGCGAGCCTACTAATTTGATTCGAGATAGCTGACCAAAAAGCCATGTGCTCAAGCGCGAACCATACATCGATGTAGACCATGTAAATGACTTCTCTTCCCTCCCTTGTCGACTCCAGTTTGTGATTTCATTAAGAGAATGATTCCAATAATTTACTTGTCAAGCTTCCTCACAAAGTTTCACGAGTAGCATCATGTAATGGTTAAGTTGATCTTTAGTCATTGTCATCATGTATTTAATTTTATGGTTGCATTGGGGGGAGATTTCACGTTCCGTAAATGACAAATCAAAGATATACCTTTACTGATTCACATCATGCAGGTTACTAAGCAAATGAGAACGCCTGTAATTACTTTCTGCTGCTTTTACTGCATTCCTACATGCTCGTGGCATCAAAGGTATCCCACCGGAACTTTCAATAGATTAAAAATGTGAACTCTACTTGATGGTAGCAGCCAGGTGATGTCGCCGGTTTTATGGCTTTTCATTTTTAATGTAGTTTTTGGTTGGACCAATTCATCTTGATCTCTCCGTAGGTATGCCTTGAGTGTATGAATTTTTTTCTCTGTGATCATTGTCTAACCTTATGGATCTGATCTGATCAAGCACCATAGTAATTGCTTTTGTTTCTTGGCATGAGCTTAAGCTAGTTGTTTCATTTCTAATGGAGTATTACTATACCCACAGCTATTGCCCACGCCAGGAGGCAGTCAGGTATCCGTAAGATGGTGGTTTATCTGCCTCGGACACAAACCACCAAGTAGAGACTACAGATGGATTCTTGGTAAACACTAGAACACAACCTCACATCATGTCGCTCGCTCGGAGCATCTTCTAGCGGTGAGAAGCTGCGCGGGCGTAGTTGACCCAACCGAAGGCCTCTTCCATGGCCCTGATGAGCGTGACGAGGTCCAAAGGCAACTCCTCGTCATCCAAATCGCTCGCGTTGTGGGGGAAATAGTTGCTATTGGCGCCGCCGTCGCTTCTTCTGACCGGTCCGCCGCCCTCCTTCCTCTCGCAGAGCACAAACCTGCACACCGGGCACTTCCCCTGGCTCTTCACCCACGGCACCAAGCAGTCGTTGTGGAACATGTGGTTGCATGGCGTCACCAGGACTTGGTCGGTCGGCAGGAACGCCTCCAAGCAAATGGTGCAGTCCTTGCCGTCTTCCTCCTCCGCGTCGTCGGCGCCGGTGTCGGTCCTCCTGCTGAAGAGGCCGCGCTTCCACGCCCTCCGCGGGGGGTAGGGAGGGCTGTACACCTGCTTCCTGAGCTTGCCCATGGCCTTCTTGAACTCCTCGGCCGTCAGGCCCTGGTCCTCCGGCTCCGCCGCCTGGCCGAGGTGCCACTCGCCCCTGATCCGCGGCGGCGAATCCCTGATGAACTGCGTCAGCCTGGGGTTCACCCTGTCGTCGGCGGATCCACTGAGGACCAGGATTCGTACCGGAGAATGAGGCCGCGAAGGGAAGCTGATGAAAGAACTCACGAAGTCAAAAGTAAGTAGTCATGATAACAACCATACACGATACAAAAGTTTACCGTGTCAGGCCGAAGGGCCCCGTCCTCACTCTTTCCTCGAACAATCTCCATGGATTGTACAGGTCTTCTTCCTGGGGAGAAAGAAGAATCAGCAAGCAAAGCTGTAGATGTTGAGATTCTAACATCCACGGCAAAAACAAGGCATACCGGTCGTCGGATCAGGGGATGAGGAACGCTAGGCCGCCAGATCGGACGGCGGTCGTGTTCCGGCGACTGCGAAGATCCATGCTCGTTACCATTCCTCCAACCCCGTGGGTATATCAAGGTATTGTTGTTGGAACTCATGCTTCAGCTGCTGTTGGAGCCCAATTCCCCCTTCGAGGATGTGAATGCTAACTGGTATGCTTTTCTATGCGCGCATTATTCTCTGTAGAGGAATCTGCTTTTTCTTACCTTTGCTTGAAGAATCCTCGCGATCGATGCTCTGCAAAAGCTTTAGTGACAGCATAAAGCAAAGCAAGAAAAGAACGAATATTCCCTTTTCTCAACCCTGCACATGTTTGGCTCAGATGAAGTCGATGCGATCCTCGACTTAATCCTCTTGAGTCGACCTGATTAGTACACTTTTACTGAGATGATCTTACTGAGATGTCTGTGATGGAAGTCATGTATGCAGGTATTGGAAGATAGGCGTGGAGTCCTCCCATTGGTTCCAACTCTCTTTTTCGTGTCAATAGTGGTGGTGTAACCAACTTTAAGCCGTAACCTCGGGGCCGACGCGACTTGGTTCAGGTCCGGATGATGGGGGATCTTCCCGGGACGACCCTTGAGATCGCTGAGGTGACCGACTGCGATGGTCTGATCGGAACGGGATCACCATTTCCTCCGGGAGGGGGCTCCTCGCTTGGGCGTTTAGTGGGAGGCCACCGTATTCGCACTTCCCGACTCGACCCCTCCGACGATCAAGTTAGTCGATAGTCTTAGGGGATTTTTTTATTGTCTCCTCCCCTTTTCCTCGGAACGCGAGAGTTTTTATAGTGAGGATTACCGTTGTTTGATGTGCTTGCCCGTAGGGAGTAAGATCGTACTTCTGGTAGCGTCTGACACCGACTTTGGTATGGCGTGACGTGAGGGATCGAGATTGAGCAGAGTGTTAATGTGCCTCGATTGACGTTTCAGTCTACGTTGATCAGATGCTATGAGTCTTATCGTCATTGTTACCCTCGTCAAATAGCTGTTTCTAGTTTGTGCGTCAATACGCAGCTCGAGACAGGAAACACGACTTCCGTCTCCCTATCTACCGCGTCTCGGTGCTGCGAACGGTAGGAAATTGGCGGAGCCGTATGCGTCCCGCAGCTGATGAGCCACTAAGAAGCATCTTTAACGAAACCTGTGGCTGAGTCGACACAGGTCAGCCTTGAACGCGTAGTCTCCTGCGCTGCCCGGGTCGAACTTCCCCTAACCCTCTCCGCCGTTTCTCCGCCCGACTCTCTCGCGCCGACGCAAAAGAAGGGTGAAACTTCTGTACGACCACGCCGACACCCATCCCTCCCCTCGATCCGTGCCATCTTCGCCGCAACAACCCACACCAAAACCCCCTCTTCCCCCACCGCTGACGAACCACCTACCACTCTCTTCAAATCAGATCTACAGATCCGTCGAGATAAAGATCAGGATGACAGAGAAGTGTCCGATCGTTCCTGGATCTACTTCTTGAATCGATTTTTTGATTCGATCGAGGGTGCGCCTCCCAAGATCTGGGTCGGCATCGATGCTCGAGTTCTAGTCTCGACCGTCTGTGACGATGGAAGAGAAGAGTAGAGAAGAAGAAGCAGTTGCAGCAGCAGACACTGAAGTTAACGCCGTCGAGGTCGGTAAAGAAGAGGACCACCATAAGCCAGTTCTGCGCAGGGATCCTTCGTTCTCGCGGTGGTGCGACGTGAACGGGATCTTGCGATCGAATGCTGCGGCCGATGCTGGATCCCCGGAGACCAGCTCGGCGGCCGAAGAATCCGAAGAGTTCGAACTGCCGTTGCTCCATCAGGGCAGGTCCGAGGAAGCGGACGCGGAGACCGAGGACCAGATGAGATCCCAAAGTTTTCGCCAGAGAAGCATGTGCTCGGGCAACGCGAATGACAGTGCAACGAAGTACGCTCCTCTGGACATCGAGAACGGTGTGCACGTCAGCGATTCGATAGCGAAGCTCCAGTCGTTGGAGCAGTCCAAAGAGAGCCCCATCTCTGCCGTGATCGTGCTCAAAACTCTGTTCTATATACTGGGCTGGTACACCTTCAGCACCTGCTTGACAGTGTGAGTTCCTAATTCGACGTGAATGTTTACTTAACTTACTCTTGATTGTGGATCTAAAATTTCAAGTTTGAGATGATCCTTTTTCTTATTCAATTCGCTGTGATGCTTTTAGGTACAATAAAACATTGTTAGGGGATCACTTGGGTAAATTTCCAGCTCCATTGCTGATGAATACAGTTCATTTTTCCATGCAAGCCATTTTATCCAATGCCATTGTGTATATTCAGTCTCGGATTTCTGAAAGCAACAGGAATACCATGTCATGGAAGGATTACTTCATCAGAGGTAGAGATTTTGCCATTGTCTCTTTTCTCTGAAGAGAAATATAAGAACAGCAGTAGACCAATGATTTTACACCCTAAAATTCTTCTTGTGTAGCATTAAAATCAATCAGATGAATTTTGTTATCATCCTTTAGATGTTTGCTGTAGCATAGTGATCTCTGTTCAGGTTTCTAAGGGGTGATCCTGTAGAAGGACATTGAGGTCCTGGATGATGCCATATTGCATAGATTGAAAATAAAAATTGATGTGCAGTGTTGAAGGTACACATCTGAAGCTTATTGAAAAATTGCAAAATCTTTTTTGAATTGGATCTTTCAAGATGTAAATCTAACTTATGGTATCAACATATACAACAACCACAACAGGCAGTGATGTCCCAACTAATGGAAGTGGGCTAAGTGAATATTTGTTCGCCGTTGAGCAATGCTCAAGGCAAATGATATCAGAATATGCAACAGGAAAGCATCCTGCACGTCTTGGAATATATGATATTTTGAATTTTTACTGGTTCATGGGTTGTATTGGTTATTGAGTTGGAAATGAAAGAAATGAAGGATACTTTGGTACCATATTACCAGTTGTTATGAATAATGTGTCCATGTTTGTCATTGAATATCAAACGGTTGGCTTAATGTTAACAGATATCCTCTATTTTATGTTGATGTTCTTTCGTTTTTTCTGCAATCTGCACTTTTCTGCACTTTTTAAATGCTAGTGGTTTTTGTGGATCACATTTTGCAGTTATCCCGACAGCTATTGCAACTGCATTGGATGTAAATCTGAGCAATGAGTCTCTTGTTTTCATATCTGTCACTTTTGCAACAATGGTACGCCTCTCTACTGAGTTAAGTGAATTAGTTGAATCGCCATTTCTTTGTATTCGGTTGATTTCAGTGAATATAATTTTATTTTCTGAATATATATATTTTTGGTTCTCTCTTTTGCAGTGTAAATCTGCCTCCCCGATATTTCTCCTTGTTTTTGCTTTTGTATTTAGGTGAGTGTTGACATCACCAACTTTTTTTTTTTTCTGATATTACAAATGCTATTGTCTTTTCTTTTTATTACTATTTAATTTTTTCTTTTACATTTGTAGGTTGGAGACTCCTAGTTTTAAGCTGTTAGGCATCATACTTATCATTTCTGCTGGTGTTCTGTTAACAGGTAGATTGTTCCATCAACCACTTCTAGCTAATTTTATTTTAAATGTGTAGTTTTTCAATGGAACTTTTAAAATGATGTCATACATGTTTCATACAAAGGCAACAATTGTTCTACCAGTTGGGGTGTGTGACTACGATATTGCTGTTGTATATCAAGGGCACAAGAAATTTGTGAACTCCATTGGAATTTCAGATCTTCTAGTTATTTGTGGCCTATCAAGCTCAATAATCAGTCCTAGTTATTCCATATGTCCAGTGAAATGAAAAGTTTCAGACTATGTCCATATCACAGATTATTAGAGCTAGTGATTAGAGTGAGGCAATTATTGTCTTAGCACACAGCGTTACCAAGGAATGCAATTTTCTGTGGATACATGTTGGATGCTATATAGGGGCCCAGGCATAAACTGGGATATGGATTGCCCCTTTTCGAGTGGTTCAGGTGCAGTATAGAGCTTACTGCCCAGTAAGCCCTGTGGTACCACCAAATTCAGGTTTGTTTTTGAACCCCTTTTTTGGTTTAGGTCTAGCCTTACACCCCACACCCCTCCCCTCATTGCTCTTTACCCGTTGAAGGTCCTACATAATGAATCGAATCATAAGATTATGTTTTCCATCTGTTTCCCTTATAACTAGAGACAATATATATCATTTTGTCACAATTTCGTAAAAAAGTTGCAGAAGTGTATTTTTGAAGACTTAAATAAATGGAATTCAGAACTTATTTAGCAATTAGTCAGTTCATTTGGTTACCATTTTGTGGCTGAGTTTGTTTTTTAGCTTTTTTCCTTCATGGAGGCTTATTGCATTATCTATGACCTAGGATACCATTCTTTTGGAGATTGTCTCAAGCATCTGAGTTTTTTATGTTAACTGTTATCTTTCTTAAAATTGTTAGGTGTATTCTCTCTGATGGACTGTCTTGTAAACTCTGACACCTAGACCAGTGGCATGTCAACACTGCATTTCCGCATACTTTACCGTTAAACATATCTACTATTTTTGTTTAATGTTGCAGCACTATTATCTTGACCAGTAACAATTCACCTGTCTTTTCAGTTGCCAAAGAGACCGAGTTTGAATTCTGGGGCTTTCTTTTTGTTATGCTCTCAACTGTAATGTCTGGTTTCCGCTGGTGCATGACTCAAATTCTGTTGCAGGTTGGCTGTCAAAGCTGCTTTGTACACTTTGATATTTGTTTTATTTAATATCCAGATCTAAAGTTCTATTGCTTTTCTCTGTGCATTGGCTTCAAATATAACGCTGAAGAAAGAGGCCTACGGTAAGCAGCATATCAAATTATTGTGATCAGCAATTTTGTTTTTATGTGAAAGTGGGTTGTATGGGTTTGCTGTTGCAAGGAAAAGCTATCTCTTTATTGACTTTTATATTCACCATGACACATTTAATTAAACAGCTGCAACAGACTGCAAATCTTGCTTTATGATTTAAGCCTTATAAATGACCACATGAGACATGCATTTTTTTTTTCTTTTTTGTGGTGCAGGTTTAAAGAATCCAATTGCTCTGATGAGCTATGTGACACCAGTAATGGCACTAATAACTGCAGTCCTCTCTCTCTTATTGGATCCATGGCAAAAGTTCAAGGGAAACAATTACTTTAATAGCTCAAAACACATAATGCAAAGCTGCCTACTTATGCTTCTTGGCGGAGCATTGGCATTTTTTATGGTAAGAATTACATACTATGTATGCTGAAAAAGTAAGTTTGTTGAATTTGATGAGTGTGGATCAATATTTCTGATATCATCAAACAATTCTGCTTGTCAATGTATAAGCATTCTTCGACACTGAATAAGCAATCTACCATCTTTGTCATGCAGGTTTTAACTGAATATATTCTCGTGTCAGCAACCAGTGCAGTAACAGTTACAGTAGCTGGCATTGTGAAGGAGGCTCTGACAATTATGGTATGACGTAGTTTTGTCTTGACACCTTTGACATGTCTTATGTTTTCTCTGAGGTGAATTTTGAAGCTATTTTAATTATCATTGATAGATCAGGAACCCTGAAGCATTCTACCTTGTCTTGAAATGCTAGATGGTTTAATTATTTATTCATTGTTATTATTATTGTTGTTATTATAAGGGCTCCTGTCTTTTACAAGTAAAGTTAACTCCGTAACATTGATGAGCTTTGAACTGCAGATGGCTTTCTGTTACTTTCACTTATCAATCTTAGACATATGTACCATGTATTTCTTGATTACTTAGTACTTAGTGAAAGTCACATTATCAGGTAGTTGCAATCTATAGCTAAACCATACTATATTTTGACTTAAAACATTTATATTAATAATATATAGATAGTAAAATATTATGTGTAGACTTAACCATCATTTTCATTGCATATTGACTTATACATTGTTGAAGTTGTAGAAAAATGTGTTATTGTGTAATATATTTCTGACTTATGCAACATTTCATGTTTATCAGGTTGCAGTATTTTACTTCCACGATCAATTTACCTGGTTAAAAGGATTTGGACTTTTTACAATTATGGTTGGGGTCAGTTTGTTTAATTGGTACAAGTAAGTCTTTACATTTTATGTCTTAAACCACTTCTGGTTTATGTTATCATGCGGTTTATGCGCTTTCATATATTGGTAAATGGCACTCAGTTCTCTTATTGCTTCAGTCTGCTATTATCGTAAAACATCATAAATAGTTAATTTACACAGGCTAAATCAAGGTCATGTTAAAACAAATATGTTGAGTTTTTTCTCTAACTTGTTCCAGATTCTCTGACAAGGTTTGACACCTTGGTTTTATAAAGAAGTTTGTTACTGATGGAGAATTTTCAATTTGTGTTTAATTGAGAGCCAAATGTGATACCTATTAAACGCATTTTAATTTTAAAGTCGATGACATTTGCTCATTCTATTAGCAAATTGATGGACATAATTGTGCTCAGAAGGAAAATATCCATTAGAAAAGGAATTTTATCATTCATGGACTAGGTAGGATACTTGCTTAATGAAATCCAGTCACTTAAAAGACTAGTCAAAAACATCAGTGCAGCATTCTCACGTACAACATTGTTTTTTGTCGTATGTTGTCTACTTGCCATTGAGATATTATAAGCTAAAAGTAGACTATTATGTTTAAGATTAGTGAGAGCATGATTACAGTAAGCCAGTTTATACAGTCTCATAGGTTATGCTTAACTTTTGTTTGCAATATGATGTTCAGATATCACAAACTGATGAAAGGTCAGCAAACTGAAAATGAGGGAACATATTCTAGATCAATAGATAGAGCTGCAAAATATGTCATTCTTGATGATATGGAGCTTCAAGATGCTTGAGTATCCATCATTGTGGGCAACAACATTGGTAATGAACTGGTAAGATCTTCTGTTAATAATTTTACATGGCAACTCACCCTATCATCTTTGTTAGTTAGTTTCTCCATTTTATTCTACTATAATTGATTTTTATTTTCAGAAATTTGAACTTTATGCATTAGCTGTAGAATGTCGTATTTTTCTATTCACCAAATGTTGTCACATTATTGGTGAATACTTGTACATCTGTTCACTTCTAGCCGTTAAATTGGTCCAACACTTTTGAGTATGATGTGTATTGTTTACTATCAGTAACCTTAAGAAGTAACAAAAACTTAAGTGTTAGAAATTATGTATTTCATCAAATGTTATAGCCATATTAAGAGATAAACTGCTGCTAGTACTCCATCTTTAATTTTTCTAATTGAAGTTAGGCAGCAGTGGAATAAAGATGTTTAAGCTGATTCTAATCAATGGTTCTTATGATTAGTTTATGACCTTCCTGGTGCTGTTTGGGGCTTGAGATTATGAGGTAGTTGTTCTGCTGCTAAACCTTTCAGTGGTTATAGATGACACACTTCTGACAAACATGTACATGTTATTTACACTAGATAAATAATATTAAGTACACAGTATAATTCTAAGTTTCTAACAAAAGATATTTGTGCAGCATAGGTTTTTCCTAATTGCTAAAGAACTCAAGTTCAAATGATACTCAGATTATAGAAAAGTAGAAAACAAATATCAAATCAAGGACTTTTTGGATAACCCTACAAACAAATGAGCTAGGTGAATTAGGGAGCTTAAGTGGCCCTGAGAGATTAACCTGTAAACTGCAATGCTCATTTGCATGTTGTTCTACCACATGGCATATGAAACCAACAATTTAAGAGAATGTACAGTGCCTTTAAATTGTCATTGGAATATGGTATTTTTCCAAAATTTATTCTCTATACAAGCACTTGAAAATTAACGACATGTTCTTTGACAATTTTTGAGTATGGTGCTATAGTTCAGTTTTCTCTTCTTTATAGTCACTCAAATAGAATTTTCTCCATTTGCTGACAGTACATCTCTTGAGAAGTAAGTTGGTCATGTGACTTTTAAGTGAAATTTTTCAGTAGTTTTCACTAAGTTTAAGCAATGTTTTTAAAAGGCGCTTGAGCATTCGCCTAGGTGCTCATGCTAGGCAAAGCGAGGCCCAAATGCCTCGCATAGGGTCTAGGTGACGCGCTTCATTGAAGCGTGGCTTGGGTGCTCGCCTGAGCCTAGGTGTCACGCGCCTCGGGCGATTGCCCGATTGAATCCAACAAGTCAAACCCACTTTTAGACTCTAGTTCAATTCAATAGTGACTTAGTTGGTTCGATCGAACCAACTAAGTCCAACAGTAAACATCGAAATCCACCCTCCTTCCCCCTCAACTTGCTCGGCAAACCCTAGGTTTCATCGTTGCTTCCTTTGCAACTGACGAAAAGGTTCAATCTTCCTCTTTTGCCGTCGACAAGTCCTTCGTCGTCGATGTAAAGGTTCAAATCTTCCTCCTTCATCATTGTTATTTTTGTACGCGGCTCCCTCTACCGCCTAATATTTTGTGTGTATCTCCCTTCGATGTCAAGGGACAGGTCCGCAGCTTTCTTTGTCACTGTTGTCGTCGTCTGCAACTTCCTCCTCCATTGTTGTTACGGGCCAAAGGTACCTTTGTTACCGTCGCCTTGTCTTGCCCATCTTCCACCGTCGGTGACTCCTATTCTCCTTCCTATTGCACAATATTATAACTACTGTTAACAGTGGATTGTTAATCCTTAGAACTGATAATTAAAACTATTATCATCATATATTATATTATATATATATATATATATTTTTTAATATTTTTATATTATATTTTTATATATAATTTAAAAATATATTGTATATTTTTTATACTTTAACATTTTAGAGCGTCTTATTTCGCTCGAGTATGCGCCTAACGCGTCAGACTTTTTGGAACCTTGGCTTCTAGCACCTTTAAAAACACAGAGTTTTAAGAAGTAAAGAACTTGTTATCGTATTGAAAATAGATTTAGATTTTTGAAGGAACCACCTGCCCAGCGTTCACTCTCGTCTAGCATATTAAAAATTTCTACAAAAGGTGCTGGACAATGTTCAAGTAATGAGAGGTCTTGTAACGTGCGTGTGCTACCATATATTTTGTCGGTAGCAGTACCCAAGTCAGAAGTGGGCTGATACCTGCCTATTGGATCGCTCGACAATAAAGTAGACAAATGGCTTCAGTTTTAACAGGTTTCTTTTTATTTTTCTGTTTTGGATGCCATTTGAAACTTATTTTGCAGGTACATGGAGCCTTCATAATGCATCTTCTGAGGTGTGGTGAGTTGACATGCGTAGAGTTTAGACAATGGTTAAAGTTCATGAATGCAAAATTGTAGGATATGTATGTCAAGTTTGGACACTCACTCTACTCGCGCCTGCGTCTTCTATTCAAATGTCATGTGGGAGGCGTGTTATGTGACGAGCTTTCTGGAAAGTGGTTATTCTATGGCAGGGAGCTCACATGATTAGAACTTACCGAAATTGGTTTATGATAACAAAACAAAGGTGCAATGCAACACTTGGTGATTCCTGCCGCATTCTTATTCCTCGGAGCAGAAAGTTGCTTTGGCTTCAGTGATATCTGAAGATGGTGATTGCATGTTTTATTTGTTGATTTAATTGAATATTTATTAGTTCCCTGTACTTCTCTCGTCTTTGCTAACCAACAATGTTCAAAGATGTATAGGATTAGTACATTTTCCAAGTCATAAAAGAACATCTACATATTCTATGTACCATTCACCCACATAATACTTGCTAGTACCATTCCATGTTCCGTAGTCCATGATTATTTTAGAACATTGGCTCGTTTGTTGCTTTATGTATTATACTCTGCAGGATGATGGTTTCTGCGTCCGTCGACTCTGCCCCTATTCCACCACGAAGCTCCGTCACCTCCACCTGACGATGATAGGAAATATTCTACCAGGCCCAATCACCCCCCTCTAGGGTAGTGACATGAAGCAATTATGGTATGTCCGTCCCTGTGAATGACAGTTCACATGAGGTCATTTGGGTCGATCCTGTCGACCTCCATGGATAGTGGTTGGCAAGTGACTGTTCAAGTCTACCTCATTCGGTCGATCGGTCCCCGTGGACAAAACATCAAGGGAAAGGTGTTACAATCATTATAGGCTTATCGCTCTTGTGGACGTAATGCTAGAAGGACGGTATTACGATTCGCTCTTGTGGACGTAATACTAGAAGGAAGGTATTACAATCGTTCTTGTGGACGTAATACTAGAAGGAAGGTATTACGATCGTTCTTGTGGACGTAATACTAGAAGGAAGGTATTACGATCGTTCTTGTGGACGTAATACTAGAAGGAAGGTATTACGATCATTACAAGTTACAACTGATTTTTGATCGAGAGGCAAAACGTTACAATCGTTCCCATGATTAAGAAAATTAATCTCAATCATTTTCTTAATTATGCTGTATAAATAAATAATAATAATTTAAATAAAATAATATATTATTTATGATAATTTTATTTATATTAAGTAAAAATTACACCCGCCCTTCTTCGCCCATCCCGCGCCTGCATTGATGCGGGCTACCAATGGCATCACTCTCAGCTTCAAGAAACTTGGTCCCTTCGCCAATGGCACATCAACTTCAAGCAGAAGTGCCCTCATCAACCCTGTCGCCACAGCCTGCCATCGGAGTCATTCAGCAATACTAAAGTTTGAACCAGTTCAAGCCACGTGTACTCCATTTGGCCAAATTCCTGAATCTCCCTGTGGAATTTCAAGCAGCATATGCAACATCGGAGGGATTGGATCAAGATTCACACAGCAATGTTCTGATGGTTGGCAAATGACAAATGATTGCATCAGTATTAAGATCCAACCAACCCGGGTGGTAACAAAAGGGGACATTAGAAGCACTACGCACAAAATCTCTTCTAAAAATTCTAATATCTATGTTCAGAATTTGCAGTGAAAAAGAATATTGACTGGCTAACTTTTGTTTTCCTTGTACAGGAATTTGTGAGGCAACAATCTTAGTGGGTCAATTCCTGCTTCTCTCCCTGTTGCATACCTTTGGTATATAAACTATTCCTCCTTGCAGCACCGGAGATGGAAGAGGATGTCCTTGTACTTATCGACCGCCTCAGTAGGAAGAGGATGTCCTCGAACTTATCGACCGCCTCTCTAAAGCGGACACCCTCATCCCAAAGTCTTATTTTCTTTACACTTTCTCCGGGGTTTGTCCCAGCAAAAAAAATAATAAAATAAATATAAATTTATAAAAAAAATATCAGACAAGCTTCGATGTGTTACTCACAGTGATTTTACCACACGATCAATCTTGTTTCTTTGTGCAAAAGAATTGTTTGATTCTCGTCGGGAGATATTCTAAGTATATGCCAATTTCATTTAACATTATTTATTTTTTCATTCATATTCAATTCTTGATTTAGACACATTATCAAATTACTCTTTATCATATAAGAAAGAGGGGCTTTATCCGTTCCTCACTTGTAATATTAATAACATTCGAATTGTCCAGATTTCAAGATATACTATAATAATAAAATAGTAAATATCAATTATTTGGAATTAACTATATAGATTTTTTATCACCATTCAGAAATATATAAAAAGTCATATACTTGATTAAGTTTAGAATACTTAAATGTTTATTTATAATATTTTTTAATTTTTTTTATCTCCTCTTATATCATTAATATTAATCTTTTAATTATTACTATAACAAATCATATGCTTCCGGAGAAGGTATGGAGCAAGCTGCCCTAAGAAGGCTAGGAGCTCGCTTCAAGTAATGCCTTATCAAATGTGAGGGTCTAACCGATAGAAGGTAGGAGATAAAAGCTAGAAGACAGAAGCTATGCTTCTCATATGTTCTCCTTATTTATACAGGAGGAAGAAATTCCCTTAACAGAACAGCAAAATTTTCTTATATAATTGGAGAAATCATATATACTATCATGCTCCTACAAGATGGTATTCCTATCAAGGATATCGATTTTAAACTGATATAATGAAAATAGTTTACGAGCAAGAGGTTTCATGGTGAGTCTACTAATTGATGAACAGTATATACATGAGAAACACGTAGTTGATGTCGGAGAACTTGATCTTACATGAAGTGACAGTCGATAGCAATATGTTTCATGTGAGAGTGGAACACCTGATTAGTGCATAGATATGTAGCTTTGATATTATCACAATATATTATAGAAATAAAAGTAAAATTGATGTCGAGTTCCTTAAGCAGATTTGTGACCCAATTGAGTTCTACATGAGTGGTGGCAATAGCACGATATTCAGTTTCAATTGTAGATCGTACGATTATCTTTTTTCTTAGAACTCTAATTGATTGGATTAACTCAAAAGAAGCCAATATATCCCGATGTGGATGTTCTATCATCAAAGTTTCTTGCCCAATCAATATCGACAAAGGCATAGAGATGAAGTGAAGAGTGTTTGCGAAGAAAGAGACCATGATCGAGAGTCCCTTTAAGATATTGCAAGATTCGTTTGACTGCAGACTAGTGCGTAGTAGATAACCATTGCATAAATTACGATAATTTATTGATCGTAAATGAGATGTCCGGACAAGTGAGAGCTAAGTACTGTAAAGAGCCAACTATTTATCGGTATTGAGTAGATTCCATAGAAGGACTTCCATCAAATAATTTGAGCGATTCATTAGTAGAGATGGAAGTTGTAACTGTATTTGCATCTTGCATGTTTATTTTTTATAATAAATCTTAAATGTACTTTCTTTGTGATAGGAAGAGACCCGAGATGTATATATGTTGCTTCTACTTCAAGAAAATAGTTTATGGTTCCTATATCTCTTTAAGAGAGAATCTTTAAGAAAGAATCGATTTGTCAATTGATAGTAGCACAGAGATATTAATGTTCACCACCGACTTAGAAGAAGATAGTTAAAGTTTGTCAGACTGATAGAGAGAAGAGGGATAGTGTGGAATGCAGATCTGTTGTACCTCAGTGAGGAAAGAAGCATCAGAGTGGTAAAAAAAGCAACAGTCAAAAGCCTGAGGACTTGTACTATTCTTGTGGCGTCCACAACTATGCCAGCCATTCTAGTCGTTTCAAGTGACGCTTGGCCATTGGGCTGGAAATACAGTGATTGGATTTGCACTAGGTATATCATGCCACTTGCTCCCTCCACCACACCAATCTCTCCCTTGCATAGTAGTGATGGGGAGGAGAGGGGACGAGAGACAAAGGAGATCTATCGATGGTCGAAAAGAAGCCAACGACAAAGCTATATACAACAGAATTGCTAATGCACGAATGGCTCTAATACCATGATAGAAGGTGGGAGATAAAAGATAGAAGATAGAAGCTATGTTTTCCCTGTTTATACAGGTTATGAGAAAGGATTTTTTTAGCAACGAGATTTCCTTGTAAAGTTGAAAAAATCTTATCAGCTATCACTAGCTCCTATAAAGATAAAGATATTCATACGGATCTCTCTCGCCCTTTTATTTGAATCGACTGCTCTGACTTCCCACGGACGTATACCTAAATTAAGGATCCCAAGCATTTAAACAGGCGAGAACCTTACCTTTCCGGCGAGGAAGTCAGAAGAGCGGGCAATGAAGGAACACTGATCTTAATGTATACGCCTTCTACAGTTCCACTGTACAAACACTCACGTAGAATGATCGAAGTCCGTCCTGGTGCGCGCTATTAGCACATGGGATCGTATTAGGATAAGGATGAAAGCTGTTCTTGATTGGTGCGGGAATCCACATTTTAGCCAGGTAATGGCCAAATCAAGGGAGACAGAGCCTCCTGATCGAGGTCGGGATCCAACCCTAGAAGAGAAAGTCAAAATGGAGTTCAAAGCTAGTAGCCTTTGGGAGATAGAGAGCCAGCAACAGAGGCGAAGACGCTCGGAAAGATTACTAATGACGAATCAGAAATACAATCTTCAACTAGAAGATGAAAGGGAGAAGGAAGGGTTTACCGGCGACTACCAGGGAAAGAAGAAAAGAAACGTCAAAGAACCATGAAATCGCTCCGATCGCAAGAGAGATTAAGAGCAGAGTAATCTCCACAGAAAACCTTCCTAAAATAAAATTCCACAAGAGAAATGAAGGGAAGTGCTTACGAGAGACTGCCATCGTTCCGGGAGAATAAGCGCGATGGGATCGGCTACCGCTGCTTCTTGATCTGGCGGAGGCGGTCGCAGTGGTGGAGACGAGAGGAGGCGGAGGAGATTGGAGTGAGGTTTCAAGCGAGAAGAGAAGACAAAAGGTTCGTTATCCTCGAAAGCGATGGCGGTCATCATATATGTAGATGACTTCACGTACTCGTCGGCGTCTACCCGAAACCAATGGCGGCCACGTGGCTATTGTTGATAGGTTCCAAACGTAGCGTCCCTGTTCCAATCTTTTCCCAAGCATTAACAACTTAATTGGGCCATAAGCCCAATAATACTTGTCCTGTTTACTGGGCAGATCAATCGATTCAAATTTCGCACACACACACACACACATGTGAATCGATTGATCTGCTGGAGCTACCATTAGACTAATAATCATGCTCATATGGCCACCCATTCAAGTCGAGATGGTGACACCATCTTAGCTTCAGCCCACCGATGATGCGCTAGATCCAATCTTTTCCAACGAAATCCTTTTCCATGTCCCAATCGAGCAACAGCCTCACAAACGCAGATGAAATGATTGAGACAGTGATGTTTATCTAACCCGTCTCACACGATGTCTTCTGCGTTCCCTGCGTGTCCGGCTTCGGCTGTTTGCTTTTGAATGGTCGTGTCCTTTTATCTTCCGCTTTAAGCTACGTTCCATTGTTTAATACCACATGGTTTCCCTGGTTCACATAAAATTAAAAGGTGCAGCTCTGCCGGCTCTCCTCGGTAACATCTTTCCTGTGTGAGATTTGGAGTCGATGATATGCTTTGACGAGATCATGAATGAACAGGGGAACCAGAGAGTCAGAGATAAATGGAAGCCGGACAAACCTGCACCTCCTCGACTATATATGGAAGAGGCATTGATTCAAACAGATGGTATGCACTCCGAACATATGCTGCGGTCGGCGGAATGGAAAGCAACGAAAGCAATCATAGAAACTCATCCGTTCAACGTGAGAACAAAACCGTCGCCCTGGTAAAAGGCTACCCAACACATGCAATCGTGGCCCCTACTTGGAGATTGATGTCTCATTTGTCGCCTGGTGTGGTCCATCCAATCGGCGAATTTGGTGTGCCGGGTGACGCACGCACGCACGCACAGAGATGGCGTGCCGACACGCGCGACGACGATGGAGTCCGGCGATGAGCACGAGGAGGAGGAGGGGGGGAGGAAGCGATCTTGAATTGCTTCTCTCCTTTTCTTGGCGAGAAATTTCCACACGTGAAAACGATGTCACGGAGATCTATTATTGATGAAGCCATGGATGAAAGGGAGGAGGAAGAAAATATCGGGAAGACGGCAGTTTTGAGACGTCGACTACCGAGAAAGATTAGCCAATCGTACGGCGCACGGGGCTCCCCTCGATCGGATCGACGGCCGGCCTGGCTGCCAAGGGATGTGGTGGGGTGGGGCTCACTCTCACCCGGTGGTCCCCACCCACGAGGCGGACGCCAGGCCCCGGCGGAGCACCACCGAGTACTCGGGCAGCTCCCCCAGGCCCGCGAACAAAGAGTCCTCCTCTTCCACCACCCGGCCGCCGGCCTCCTGCTCCTCCGGCAGCGCGGCCGCGGCCTGGTCCCCGGCGAAGAAGACCGACCCGTAGAGCAGCTCGCAGGAGCCGGCCGCGGACGGGGAGGTCGAGGGCGTCGAGCACACGTCAGCGAACCACTGGAAGCCGCCGCCGGGGGCGTCGACCAAGAGCGCCGGTTCCTCCTCCGCGATCAGGTCGGAGAACTTCTCGTCACGCTCCGCGGACTCCGGCGGGCTGGACTGGTTCTGCGGTGGCGGCTGGTCCTCGACAGTCTGCTGCATCGCCGCCGCTGCGTGCTTGTGGTGGTGGTTCTTGGGGAGGGGCCATGGGTGGTTGTGGTCGAAGGAGTAGGTAACCACGATCGCATCCGGGTCGACTCTGCTCCGCTCGACCTGCTTCCTCGCCGGGCACCCCTTGGAGCTGCTACACCTGTAGTAACCCCTGCACGTCCCATAAAGAACACCCATAGCTTAACATACCAGTTGGCTTTCACGTTGATCTCGATCTCCATCGTGCTTCTACTGCTAAATCGAGGAAGAGCACACGCACGTACCTGGGATAAGGTGAGCCCTTGATGGGCTTCTGCCCGTACTTCCGCCATGCCCACGAATCAGCCGGCGGAGCCCCCTCGCCGGTGCCCTTCGCGTCGCTGATCGGAACCGTCACTACCCGCTTTTCCACCGCCCGCCGGCTGCTCATCCACGAACCCAATTAAAAGTCAGTAAATCCAGAGAGAGAGAGAGAGAGAGCACGATATGGGAGGACAAGAAGATCCACCTTCTCTTCGGAGAGGGAGCTGAAGAGGAGGAAGGAGCCAAAGAGCGAACAGGTTTGGCGTCATCGCCGGATCCACCTGACCGGAGGCTCCTATCGTTGGCGTCGGACGCGATCCCGGCCTCCTCGGGCTCGCACCTCTCGAGCTCGTCGCTGCAGCTCCCGTTCATCACAACCAGAAGAGAAGCTTCCCGCAGTGACGACTTCCCTCCGCCGCCGATTCAAGGCACCCACTCACTCCATCAAACAGTAATTTCCGTACGCTCTTAGCAGCAACGAAAGAGCTTTTTTGTCAGGAAACAAGATGGAGGAAGAAGAAGGGAGATGGAGCGAGAAGGTGGTGGTTGCTATTGGTGGGGTTGCCAATGGGGACAGACGGGTGCAGTTCTAATACTCATCGTTCACCTCCACCCATCGTATTAAAATACTCGAAGGCCTTGTCGTTTGCGCGAGACGTTGCCTACGAGTTGCTCTCCATGACTCTGAGAGAGAGAGAGAGAGAGAGAGAGAGAGAGATGTGGAGGCAAGTAACTCCAACTAAACTATTCAAAGAGGCGAGAGCGACTCCTCCTCAGCCTTGTTGCAGTGCACATCCTGATGCAAATATATTATTTGCGGTAGCCCTTTAGTTATTGGCAAAACGAGGTGAGATCCGGCAGAGGAGATACACAACCGCCCCCCTCTCCTATTCATCTCCTCTTCGATTTCCTTCGTCATTAATTATCATCTCTTCCCTCACGCACTCCTTTCAACTGGAGAGATGCTCTGCATCTGTTCACCATGAACTGGATGGATAACGAGGGACCCAAAGAATCCACTGTCCATGGCTAGCTTGGCCATGAGTGACACAGTAACAGATACAGTTTAAGCTGGCTTTTACCATTGTGTGTGTGTGGGGTGGGGGGGCGCGGGCGGAATCCGGCCACTTATACACACCATCCTGCAGACCGCAGCTTCCTCGTCTCGTCACGGAGATGAGCTTTCATCTTTCTTCACCCACATCGATGGTGGAGTCCCTTCCACGTCGAAGTTCCGGCTCACATGGATCCAACCGCTGAATGCGGCAAGTTTGAACAGCTCGAACGGAGGTGCTGTCCAATAACTCGATGGGTTCGATTATATTATGGCCGTATCCGCACTGGAAGTCAGCGTGGGGTTATGGCGTCACAGCTTGCTCTACACTGTGTTCATTAACTTCTCTCCTATTATATACTTGGAAGCTTCTTCGTTGACGTGTTGCAACTGGGCTTCTATAATATGTCGTTCATTTCGTCGAACACCTTGTGCAACCAGCACCGGGAAGATTCCCTCGTGTCATTTCTTCCCTCTTGTGAGGCCTTGATAGGGGGTGAGGGTTTGGATCATCGTGACCGTACGATGTAATCTATTCGAATGGAAACAGTAAGATTAAAAGAAAAAGATGATAATTTCGCATATTCTCGGCCTATGACTTTTCTTGAACGGACGTCATCTTCGACCGTCTGGAAGTAAGCCACCGCAGGTTTGACTTGTCGTGATGGTAGAACGCTGTATCGCTGGAGTTGGAACAAGTCTGGAATCTATAGTGTATGTCAAATCAATCAACGTTGCCTGTCATTTGTTATCCAAAGAGTTCTACAGTTGCAAGATAATAATCCAAGAACAGTTGTTGACATAGAGTTTTGTCAATGCACCTGTTTGACTTTTCTTCATGACAGATCCATCACATGAATAGCCGATGAAATCATTAGCCTCGCAAAAGAATGGGCTCATCGTTTATCAAATAATTGCTTTTGTTTTCATAACTCAAACTTGAAAAATTCAACGTCATTTCTTGCAAAAAAAGTGTACAAGATTAGATCAACAAATCCAAGAACAGTTGCCAGGAACTATTTCTTGCATCAGTAAGACGAAAAGAAATAAAAATTCGAGATCCTCGTGTTCAAATTTGCTATGCCCGAGGGTCCATTCCACCAATTAGAGATCTAAAAAGCAAAAACTTCGAGGAAGACAAAGTTACACATATGCTGCAATGTTTTTGTTGCTATGCTTGGTATCTGCAAAGGTTCTCGAAACCCATATAGTCATTATCCTCAATTTTCTTGATCATGTTGACGATGCCAACTCCACCTGCAATGAAAATTTTAGGGTGCATTAACGCATGAGAAGATGCCGGCAGATAACAGACACTAAAACCACTGTTAGATGAGTAATAGCTAAATGAAATAATAACTTGCATGCTCACTCATTTTCAAGATACTTATTGGTAAAAACGAAAGATATCAAGTTTACCGAACAAGGTAGCATTGGCAAAAGAATCATTGGTTTACCTAACGAGATGGCACTGATAAAGATCATTGAAGCCAATATGAAGATGATGAGAGATGCCCTCCCGATTAATATGACCAACCTCCTTACTACATGTTGCCCGACAAAGGCAGCAACGGTAGCCACGAAGATGAAGTAGACAGCTGCCAGAACAAAAGCAATTAGTCAGACGACATATTTACGGATTTCACAATTGTAAAACAAGATCAGAAGATCATCTTGGATCAAAAATGTTTCCTCTAACTGATTATTGGATTCAACAATTCACTAAGCATGAAGCTTTGATTTTTTTTATTTTTATTTCATTGGCAAAGCACAATGGTAAGTTGTGGTACCATATGGGACTGGAAAACGGTTTAAAAGGTAGTACTCTACAACAGACAATGATGATGAGAATGTCATGGCGAAAGTTGCAGTTGCACTTGAAACCTGCATAAGGCTTTCAGGGTTAGACTCAGTTGAGAAATTCAAAAACAAAACTGATTATATAGACAGAAATAGATGCATGCAGTATCAGAATGTCTACATAAAACAACATGCTGCCACTTTCAATCATCCTCAACAACATCCTTAAGTCTTATCCAGCTCATCCTCCCAGCTTGACTTCTTAGAAATTATTAAATGGTTCTATCATCATGTCCTTCTCATGCTATACAACAGATCTTCCTACAACTTGTGAACCAGAAACCATCATTCGATCATTAATCATGGTTTGTTTTCAATGCATGCATCACAAGATTATTTCGACGTCAATATCTCTGAAGAAGAAAAAGAAAAAGTATAAGGAAAAAAAGATACAATGTTGTAATCCTTATACAATCATTATCTTACAATCCCAGTATCTAATTTCCACTTCCTTTCCCAACTTTGACATTTCTATTTGGCCTTCTACAGTTGATAAATGACTGTTGGCAGTGAAGTTTCTGATCACCAGCTGGAAATTTACTTTTCTATTTCAGATGGGAACCATTCAGGCAAGACATAAATTCTTAAATAACTAAAAATGGCTAATATAGTGGACTGCATTCAATATAACCATCAACCATGACTTCACTTTTTGCTTTGAATTTCACTGGTCTATTCACCTTGAACACAATTAACTTGTTATATTACCAACGCCATCATCTATACATGACTTATATTAATGTGCATACTCCAATTTGTTGTCTTGGAAGCTCTGAACATATGTGTCATCTTATAACAGACAACCTTGGTTGCAGCATGCCACTTCTTGATTATCTCCTCTCTTGGATGCATTTTATTGATTGGAAGTAGTCATGCATCTTGAAGAATTACCATAGCCTCGTCCCTAAGCATAATGAATGACAATTCCCAGTCTCTCTCTTTTTCTTAAGAAATTTCCAAAATTTGTTTTCCTTGAGTTAGAGATTTCATCCAATTGCATTACATTTCAAAAGATGTACTTTTCTTGTTGATGCATGTCATATGACAAAAAGCAGGAAGTAGGCCAGCTATCTTAAATTTAGACCCTAAATTTTTAGACTGGTACTATATCATCATCGTAAAAAAAAAAAAACCACACCTTTGGTTTCCTATCCCCATGGTTTACATTTTTCTATGTATTTAAGATTTGCACATTGGTTATTGCAGTTCAACCCAAGGATTTAGATCTTGGTCCAAAACCTACTTCGATAATCTCCATACTAGTACAGGTATACAGGGCAGTGTACCAATCCATACAGCCCAATAACATCTGGAAAATATAACAAGGAATTAACACTGATTATCATCCATAGTTGTTTTCAGACCAGTATCAGAAACCACAGTTTCACCAGTTTACCATGACTATCTCCAAGAGTATAATAGATGCGATGAGCTAGTTACGTAACATCAAATAAGGAACACCTACTTACATGCCAAGGTATTCTTTGACAACAGATTCTGAAAAACACACCAAAAATGTGAAAAAAAGGTTTACTCAAATGTAACTAAGAGAAAAATAACACATTTTGCATGATCTATCTCGTTAGAGAACATCAAGAATGGCATAAATTGCAACTTCATGTTTCCTTTGTATCAGTGACACATCAAGCAAATCTCAGGTATTAATAACCATTTCTTGAACAGGAAAGAGTGATATAAGTCACCTGAGGAGGTATGCCAAGTTCCAAAAACAATGGACCCAAAATAAAGCCTCCTCCTAGACCAAGAAGCCCACCTACTATACCGGCAATTATACCAGACAAACAAAAGACAAATAATTGACTGACTTTCCAATTTGTCCCTTCATCACCCCTGGATGCAATTACTCTCTCTCCTTTGTATAAACTAATTGCTTCATGCAGAGTCACTGCAACTGAGACAGGAATCTGTACATAAAAGGCCTCATTATTACTTTAAAACTCCGGAAACACATTAAAATGCTTAAAGAACAAAACAAATCATCATACTTGCAGGAAGTTCAAAATCCAATACCATGTCGAACACGTAGCCGTGTGATTCTGCGAAAATAAAATCAACCAACTTGTATCAACTAGCTTTGAAATCCTTAAACAGTAGATATTGCCACAAGTCTCACCTTTGTAACTTGTAGTACAAGGAATAATACCCACACAAAGACAAGGAGACCAAGCTCCTTCCAGCTAACATTTTGAAGAACTGGGACCTGCATTTACAGACATGGAGTCCAGCATATTGGTGTTAGCAAGTTAGAGATAAGAAATTAAAATTTGTACTGCTATACGACCTCAGATTCTGCTGTCATTTCGACACCCTTTCGATCAATATCGCTGGGACCCAGAGGAAGAGATCTATATTCGACTTCTTCACTCCCTCCACCTAATATAAATGGCAAAGTTGAGAGGACCCATCTTTGAGCACTAAAGATAATTGTACTGACAATTTTCCCCATCCTTACCATTAGTTACTAAGCGTTTATAAGCATCCTGAAATTAGAAAACGAGTAGTCTGATAGATCAGAATTACTTGCGTGCATACGTATCTCAATAGAAACTAAATAAAGGGATATTGCTGCTACCTTCTTAAGCACTGTCTCCTTTTTCCAAGTGTCAACGCCTTTCATGAAAGCCTTGGTTGATGACCCTAAGATATTCCACCAAATTATATCAGAAATGCTCTTTGCTTTTTAACAAAACAACAGTGAGCATACACATCAGGTAAGAGATTACCCAAGAACAGGACAATCAAGAGGATTGTGACCATCCAGTCAGGGAATATCACATTAAAAATAACACCAATACTGATTCCAAGCATAAGCATGGGTTGAATAAGCACTGCCAGGTCATAGTCAATAAGAGGCACATCTAAAATTGGATGCCTCAGCTTAAGGTTGAAGTAAACGGTGGACCCTGCTGCGCCCATAATCATGCCTGCCCAAGGAACATGAAGATTTCAGTACCCATGAGAAGATGCATTCAAAAGAAAATGAATCAACCATAAAACCAGCCGTTATACTACAAAATTTAGCATCAACAGCATCATAAAATATGCTACACAAAATAACAAGAATGCAATGTGAACTTAATTTTTCGAACTAACTGAAGATAATCGGTTGCTCCTCAGCAATATTACTAGTATATTCTGCGAACATTCCCAAATTCATTATACTTGCGATGTAACTGACCTGTTTAATTCCATGGCAAAAACCCTTCGTCGGGGACAAAAAAGGATGAAGGAAACAATGTCATGAACCCTAAGCAAAAACAATCAAAACAAAAAAGAAAACAAAAGATACAAAAAAGGAAAATTGAAGCTCAAAGGAAATGTTCTTACATTTTGACATCGCTGTGGAGGATTTGGGATCAAACCCCACGATCAGGGAAAGCATGGGAACGAAAATGCCACCACCACCAACGCCCCCCACACTGCCAAACGCTGCTCCAAAGAACCCAATTATGGTGCCCACCACGATTTGCCACCCAAATTCCAGGGGCTATCGTATCGAAACAACAACCAAAAAGCAAAACCACGTTAATAGCAAGTTTCTAACCATTTTCTACAATCTAACAAAAACCTATCATAAGATGCAGAAAGAGAGAGAATTTATTACCGGCCAAACAGGATGGTAAGAAGATCCATCGGCCTGCCACAAAAAATTTGAGACCTTTAAAAAATAGTTCGATTCAATATCCACATCATTTACGCTCGTCTTGTCTTTCGAAGCCTCAACTCGAAGGCTTTGCTCCGCCGAAACCACCGCCGCTGCGGCAGACAGGCAACAGAGCCCAACCGCCACCGCCGACCCCAGACTCCGCCACCGTCTCTCTTCCATCGAGTTGCCAACTCTGCCACAATCTCCGCAAAGAAATCCAATTATTGTGCTCTCTAGTGATCTTAAGAGCAGAAAAAAAGGAAAGATATCGGAACCCAAGTCAATCCTTCTCTCCCGACTACGAATCCACCGGACGACGAACAGCAACAGAAGAAATTTTACGGAAAAGATCGGAAAGGAGAATATTCTGCCAACGAGAGGATGAAACGGGGGGAGCGGAGAAATCAATGGAAACCATCAGCGGCCGCTATAAATTGAGAGCGAAGAGGGTATCACCGGGCGGAAACCAAGAGCCCCTCGACAGGCTGCGAGGAACCCTCGCGAATGCCAAAGGCTCCGCGATCCGTTCCGTAGCGGGTGCGCGAATCGCACCGCAAGGGCGGCAACCGAGGCGAAATTAGAAGCGGCCGTTGGATCAGTCACCTTCGTAGCAGACGCACACGTAATGTCGCGGGAGCCTCTGCGCGCGTACTACCAAAACGTACCGTCAGGCAAGTCCTGTCTCGACCCGGCCGTCAAACAATTCAACATCAACTCCAACTGGCCGATAAGTTGGGCCCCACAAGAGTCATCAATCCTCCGATCGCTATCGACCAATGAGAAAGTGCTCTTCGACGTTTGATGGTTCGGCCGAAATACAAGATCCACTACCATAGTCGCTGCCCTAACATGTAATAGAAACGGGATGCAGGTTTCTTTTTATAAGACGGGATTCGATCCCAAAATCTTGTAATAATTTGCGGAAATATTTGCCCACGAATGGATGAAGTGTGCGTTTGTATGCAATGGAAGAAGGCAAGGATGAGGTGTTGGATTGACGTACTTTGCTGGGATATGTATCGAATTGGTATTGAGGAATGTCGTAAGAAAATTTCCTTCCAACAAAATTAGGTTTTCGGGTTCGTGTACACGGCAAGTAAGTGGTGTATATTGTTAGATATATAATATAATAAATACTAATTTTAAATTAAAACTGATGTATAATTATACTAATAATGGTTCGATATTATTAAAATTATACACCTTTATAAGTTATTTTATATTTTTGAAACATATTTGAATGAGTTTTTTACAGTATAATTTTAGGATCATTATACTTATGGATGAACATTTATGTTGAGGTTAGTTACATCGGAATCATGCGATAGTCGATAACATTCGAGAGAGCAACATTATGTCAATCGCATATGATTGAGATATATTAGCTATGGAGCATGATTATATAATATTGAGATATTGATTATTTTTATCAAATAATTAAAAAAATTATATTTGAACATAAAAATATTATTTAAAAAAATGCATGTAAATCTAATGCTAATAGGGAACAAAATTATCTTCTCTATTCAAACATATGAAAACAACACATGAATTTATAAAAAGTAAATTTGAAATTTTCTTTGAAACAATTTGATCTTTTGAAAAAGCCTAAAACTTAGGGGTTTTTTTTTCGAAAAATTATTCTAAAAAATATTAATTTGAAGACAAAAAAAAAGGTAATTGGGAAATTTTATTGGGGCGCTTTTCACCGAAAGACCAGCAGTTGTTGACTGGCAGGCGTGCGCCCAATTCGTTTGGTTTCCGAATTGGGTCGCACCGATTCCATCTGCGGTTTATGTGACTTTAATAACCTTCTATTTTCTTTAGGTTCATTTATCGTTATTATTATTATTATTATTTCGCATCAGGCTCACCGCACCCTCTGCGGAGTCGAGAGGCGAATCGAATAGGAAGAAGAGCCGAAGAGGGAGGGGCGGAGAGAGAGAGAGAGAGAGAGAGGCTTCGTCTTCGGCCTCGGCTTCGAAAGGTTGTTGAACAACTGCTTAGTGTAGACAGTTCTACTCGTATGTGGAGTCCGATCGCCGCCGTTCTCTTTTTTGAGCCCTAATTCTGTCTTTCTTCGATCGCCCCGGGAGGCGGGGGGGGCGGGAGAGAAAGAGGTCCGATCGGAGGGTTTTGATCCTGTGGGTGCCCGAAATTGCGTGGCGATCCCATCGCATCGGATGGAGGGAGGAAGGGGGATGAGCACGGGAAGGCAGACGGTACGGGACTTGGCGGAGGAGGCCAAGAAGCGGGTGGTGTTGCTCCTCATATGCGTCTTCGGTCTCTCCTACCTCATGTCCTGTATGTATCGCCCCCTTCCACTTTTTCACATAAATTTCTTAAAGTTGTTTGGGCCGATCTCCATCGATTGCTTCCTCTGATGCTCCAACTGCTGTTCAGTGTTCTTCAAGAGCAGTTTGATTGATTCTGGTTCATTCTGCACGTTTACCATGACTTGCACTATATTTTAGTTTAATTTTCTTCTGTTTTTCTTTTTTTTTTTGGATGGACGTGACACTAAGAGTTTGAGGCATTGTTTCCTTAATATTTGAGGTTGATCATTCTTGGTCGCGTACCACCGGATTAGATCGTTTGGACTTCAGTAGATGCAACTTTTGATATCCATTGGATGACTCAATCCTGATGAAAAGTGGTCCGAATTTTGTATAATTACATATAGCTCATATCTGACTATAACTTGAAAGTGCAAAATGGCACCTGAAATTGCTACTTATGTGGGTGATATAGTTCTTCAAATTAACTACTTGTGAATAACTAATTGTTTCATTTTCATTTTGTGATATCATTCCAGGACATGCTCTCAACTAACAATTTCTTCTGTCCATAATGAAGATTTTGTAATTTGCATAGACAATATGTTTGTATACAACTCTATGATCTCTTTGCATTTACTGCATTTAAGATGTGCTGTATTAAGAAATTGTCATTCCCTGTAACTTGATATCCTAATATTGAAATATCTTGAACATCATGTGGTTGTTTATTTTGGAGTTGTTTCAGTGATCAGAAGACATACTATTCTTCTTCAGTGACTATTATGGTAGGCACTAGAACCAACCAAATTGATGAAGTAATTCAAGGAAGTGAATGTTGGCATGAGTAACATTCACCAATCTACCATCTGTTTTGAGTACCAGCGCACATGAGTTGCCTATTAACTGATACTCAAGCTGAATCCTGTTTAATTATGGCATCTATAAGATAATCAGACAATACATTTTAGTGAGGAAGCACTTATGTCTTGCTTATGCTTCTAACAGTAGTACCCTGACATTCCTAGTACCATGTGTATGTGTTAATCATATAGTTCATTTCTCTGATTTACTTGGTTTAAGGAAGAAATTTAATGCAAAACTATTAGAAATGTCATATAAATTTACTCATATAAGATCACATAACTTCTGGAAATTGAGACTAAATGTCCTTTCCATACATGGTGGCCTTGTAGTCATTTTTTTGCTAGAGAGCGTCCATCATAAAACTCACTTACAATGCATTATAAGAAGCATATTTATTTTTTTCTAGAGAAGGAGATGGAAATTATCTTGGTACTAGCTCATGACCATAAATGCATAGTGTTTACATATATATTTTGTAGACTACCTCTCTCTCCCTTTCTCTCTATTTGTGTTGTTTGGATTTGCTGTTCAATTCCATTGTTTTTGTCTCCTTTCTTGTTTGTATTTTCTGTTCAATTATATACATACATATTTTCCTTTCTTGTTTCCTTTCTCAATTCCATTGTTTTTGTTTTCTTTCTCAGTAACTAGCTCCTCAGTTTGGGTCAACTTGCCTGCTGCTGCTGCTATTATCATATTTTGTCTTTATTTGTCACGTGACCTGGATATTCGAAGGAGGAGCACAGTGTCTGACAAGCTTTCCCTTGTTGATGAATTTACTCAAAAGAAATCTGTTGAACTTCTCAAATTTTCCCTTGAAAAATCAGACTGGAGAAAGAAGGTGGATTCCCCTCCAGTTGAGGCAGCAATAGAGCAATTCACGAGACACCTAATCTCCGAGTGGGTGGTTGATCTTTGGTACTCACGTATAACATCAGACAGAGATGGTCCAGAAGAACTAGTTGAAATCATGAATGGCGTCATTGGGGAAATTTCTTCTCGTGCAAGAGATATAAATCTTATTGATCTTGTGACCAGGTATTGGGCCTGTCTGTACTTAAGCATTTCTAACATGCTTGACAAACTTTTAATATTAAGTCTGTCCTAATAGGATGAGTACTTCAGGGATATTGTCAACCTGATTTGCAACCATCTGGAGCTTTATCGGTATAGCCAGGCTAAGATTGGGAAGCAGGAAATTATGAAGCTACCCACTGACCGGCGAGATATACAGATTAAAATTATTTTAGCAGCTGAGAACAAGTTACATCCAGCTTTGTTTTCTGGAGAAGCAGAACACAAGGTTGTATATAAGCTTAAATCTCTCATTTTTTTTATTAAACCTATATTGACAGATTATTTTTCTTACTCTACATGCTGTATTAGCCTTATATATATGTGTGTGTGTGTGTGTGTATATATATATATATATATATATATATACATATATGTGTATGTGTATGTATATGTATATGTATATATATATGTGTATATACACATATACATATACATACATATATATATATGTATATACATGTATATGTATATGTATATATATATATATATATATGTATATGTATATATATGTATATGTATTTATATGTATATGTGTATATATAGACTGACATATGAATTGAGAATTTAGTGGTCTATGGAATTCAATAAAGAAAAGCTAGGGTCTTGTGATGCTCGATTAATTGTAGTCATGTTGTGAAATTGATTCCATAGGCCAAACATTTGTTTTTAATCTATTGATGTGGTAAAGTTCAATATTTTTTGAGTTTAGATTTTGTTCACTGACTAATTTTATTCATGTCATTCCTAGTTCCTTATCTGTTTGTGCTTTTAATTTCTCTAGAGGAACTTGTTGGTTTAATTGAAGTTTGCTTTCACTTATTTTTTGATGCAAATTTGGGAATACTTTGTTTATTTTTAATGCTATTAGGCCTGTTGTTGACATGTCTTTTCTTTCTGGACATTTTGTGCAATGTGCATTCTGGGTTTTCTTACTGATTAGGTCTTTTATCCTCTGAACAATGTTTGTGGATCCAAAACTCGTTTGTGCATGGGTTAGAATCCTTTTAAATTGAAAATATGAATAGGGCCAGTCAGATGACTTTGTATTGCATCGTTTTCAATAGATTAAGACACTAAGTAGTATTACAGATATTATTCAACGTAGAATAAGACCAAATCAGAACATACAATAGAGTTATCTAAGCTCACAGTGTTGGTCGAAGTCGAATCATCCATTGATTTTGCATAAGCCACTGTTGGGTTCTGCAAGGACAGAAGTGTCTTCTTGGGCTGTATATCCTTGTCAAGGAGTTAAAAGTTTTATTTTGAATGTGACTGTGATTCCTGTCAAGGAGACAATGTAATGAAGAGCTTTACAACTTGATATTCGTTAACTTCAAGTGACAGCTATCAATGTGTCAAGTATTTGTGGTCCAGGTTGCTTGAATAATAATGCTTTAAGTAGCTTTAGGTCTATTTTATGGTTTGCACTTGGTAGTTGCTTTGTCATCTCTTTCTTGTCTATATTAGTTTCTTACACCATGTAGAACTGAGTGTTAACTGTGCATTAGATAGTAATTCTGTAGTGCCAACACTATAGTTGCTTTTCTGGTGATACAGTATGAACTTCTTCAGAATCGACAAAGTGTGTTTTTTGGGCACAGTTGTATTGAATGCCTTCTGAATTAATCGCTTGCTACATCTTGTAGCTGCGAAATAAATGTCAAAGTAATATTATTTGACATCATCCTTGTTCTTGAAATGTCATTGTTCTGTTTAAAAATTGTGCTATTGAGCCTTTTTAAGATTTAATTGGTGCACTTTGTCTAGTTCCTCTCTATCTCATAAGATGAAACTATTCTTGGGTATATGGTAGAATGATATTCTTTGACTATTTCCTATTTTTACATCTCATTAACGTGAACATCTCACAGTAACATTCTTATGTTCTTTTTATTTATTATGTACCAGGTTTTGCAGAATTTGGCCAATGGGCTTATGTCTATAGTTTTCAAGCCTGAAGACTTGCAATGTTCATTCTTCCGCTATACAGTCAGAGAGCTTCTTGCTTGCACAGTGATTAGGCCTGTTCTGAACTTAGTTAATCCAAGGTAATTGCTTGTTTCCTGTCTAACCACTTTCTTGATGTTCCGTAGACTTTATCCACTACTAGTTTATGGCTTTTATTCAACTTCCAGGTTCATAAATGAAAGGATCGAGTCTTTGGCTCTTTCCCATGCCAATAAGGCTAGCAAGAAAACTGGACCATCAGAAGAAGCACCCATAGTCAAGCGAAAAGCACATTCAGTACCATCTGATGTTCAAATATCTGGATCACTGGATCGGTCAAGTCCAGGCGTTGAACTTGTTCAGTATAAAAATGACACTTGCAAGACCAGTTCAGATAATCACAGCATAGCTAATGGGATATGTTATACAAAGAAGGGAAAACGTCCAAACTTAGAAACAATTGATGACTCTTGTCCTGATAAGTCAGATTTTGTCTTTAATGAAGCTCAGAATTCTTTCTCAAATAACTCTTTGCTATCAGATTCTCAATATCATGATGGAAAAAGGAATGGTGCAAGTGAGTGGGCGGAGATGTTGGATGTTATCTCCAAAAGAAAGTCTCAAGTTCTTGCACCAGAACATTTGGACAATATGTGGGCAAAAGGACGAAATTACAAAAAGAAAGAAGTCTGTAAGCCAGCAAAATCAGTTGCACAAAATTCATCTGTAGGATTTACAAACACTTATTCTGGTACCTCAAACCAAGACAAAACACACCCAAGTGACATATCCAAGCAATATGCTATCATCTCCAAAGTAGAAAGTCTGCATGCTACTGATTATAATGCCTCTAACCAGTCAAACCCATCACTTCAAAAAAGAACTGAACAGCGTAATCATGAAGAGCTTGAACAAGAAAGTGAAAGTTCCTACACCTCTGAGGATGATGAGAACAGTACCGTCATGGGACTTGATTCCCCTGGAACAAGAGTTTGGGAAAGCAAAAACAAAATAAATGCTGGTGTTTCAAGCATAAGACATCCTCTTGAAACATCTGAAAGTCATGTAGCAAGGAAAAATAGTAATGTTTATGTTCACCATCCTAGGACATCGGGAACATCATCAGGAAGAAAAAGGTTTAGGTTAAGCAATCAAAAGGTCCCACTATGGCAGGAGGTTCAGAGGACATCATTTTTGTTGGGAGATGGTCAGGATGTGCTTAATGCCTCAAAAAACGATACAAAAATATTGGAATTAAGTGATGAGTCAGATGTGGAAGTTAGGGGTAGAATTTACAGTGGGGCTGTGGCTTCTTCTTCTTTTTCCTCTGTTTCAGCATCTGAGTCATCTTATTCATCTATGAAGTCTCCTGATATCCTTGTATTAGCGGATACATTTCTGAAGTTGAGATGTGAGGTGGAAATTCTCAGGATCTTTCATTTCTTTATACTTCCATTTCATGTGCTAGTTGTAAGCACTATGCTGATACATGATGGATCTGCAGGTACTTGGGGCCAATGTTGTAAAAAGTGGTTCAGGAACCTTTGCTGTGTATTCAGTTTCTGTGACTGATGCAAATAACAATAGCTGGTTTATAAAAAGAAGGTTCGCTTGATAAGGCAGTATGATGTATCAGTTGAATTTTTCTTAAACATTTTGACATTTGGTATGCACATTGCATAATGGAAGTTCCTTTTTCGGTATTTTCCTTAAGGTTATGGGCTTTCTTGTTAGGTTTCGCCATTTTGAGGAGCTACATCGACGTCTGAAAGAGTTTCCTGAATATAATTTAAGTTTGCCACCCAAGCATTTTTTGTCATCTGGACTAGATGTTCCTGTTGTTCAAGAAAGATGCAAGCTTCTTGATGTATATTTGAAGGTATGCTTGTCTTGAAGTACTCTTGGTGACAATGCTTGTTCCACAAGATTGCTTACGATTGTGTTCAAGCATGCACCCGGCACCTTTTTGGTTTGCTTCTCAATTTTTTCCAGACTTTGGCCTTCAACTAACAAAAAGTTGCTTGGTCATAGCTATGCTGAGTATCTCAATCTATTAGATTTAGCTTTGAAGGCATTCAAGATTCGTGCTAGTAACATATACACAGTTATCCTTTCCTAAATAATGCTGAAAATTATACTTCTTTCTTGGCACAACCCTTTTAATTTATTCTCAAGTAAAGCACGTGGTTCCAAGTTGTCTTTTGTAGCATGCACATATGACAATTGGCCTTGATGCAGTACAACTACTGGCTTGTTCAGTTTGTAGCATAGTAACATTCGCATGCAGGTGACAAATAGGATAAGAGTCCTGGATAAGAATCTGGAACATGGTGTTTAAGTGATGCTCCTGTGTTGATACCTATAATGAAAGATAGGGTTGAAAGAGTTTGTAACACAATCTTTATAAGTTCATATGCAAGCATGCATGTCCCCTTCTGTGCAGATATCTCTGGAAGGGTAACCAAGTACCTTGTCTCACATCATTACCTTTCTCATTAGCTTGCTTTTAGTGAGAAAAGTCCAAAATACTACCTGTCATAGCTCATTGATTGAGAATATTAGGCCACTTTATATATTTTTGATGTTTTTGTTAAAGCCCTGTGTATCGTGAAGTTATTTTCTTTTGAAATCATCTAAGATATAACGTGCAACACTGGAAGCTTCAACTTGTCTTAACCATATTGTATGGAGTCCTAGTGAGAAAAGTACAATACTACCTGTCATAGCTCATTGATTGAGAATATTAGGCCACTTTATTTATTTTTGATGTTTTTGTTAAAGCCCTGTGTATTGTGAAGTTATTTTCTTTTGAAATCATCTAAGATATAACATGCAACACTGGAAGCTTCAACTTGTCTTAACCATATCATATGGAGTCCTTTCCTGCTTAGTTGATTGATCCATACAATCATATTTGGGTCCTCTTCAGATACAATACCTGAGATGTCTCCAAGATTCTCTGAAGTTGGGACTGAAATATGTAATGTCAGATGTCGTGGTCCATATTCGGTATTTGACTATTTTAGAGGCATCACAGCATAGGATCATCAACTGGATGTCATTAGCTATAGATACTCTTGGAAACCTTATGATGGTCTGTACTGGTGGTTCAAAATAATACAACAGAGACAGAGACAAATGAATAAAAACAAGTAGGATTTCGTATGTTTCATGCTGCTTCCCAATACCATGATATTGCTGGTGCCATTCCCTCAATAAAATATGTGTACCAATATGGTAGGGAATTATGGCAAGAAACCTGAATTCTTGCATGATGCTACTCCCAATTTATTCTCTCTTTTATTTTTGGTTTCTGATAACCTTTAGTCTTGCTATTCTGTCTTTTAGTGACACACTTGTCTTTCTTTTTGCACAGAGGCTTCTTCAGATTCCAACCATATCAGAGTCTATAGAGGTCTGGGATTTTCTCAGTGTTGATTCACAGGTTGGTATTAAACCTAATATGATTGTCATTTTTGTTGTGTCCAATATCTTTTTGGCTGAACAAATTTTTTAATGTGCTATCCATGTTGCAGACATATGTTTTCTCAGATTCTCTCTCCATCATCCAAACATTATCAGGTTTTCATTTCATGTTATTTTTTCTTGGTGTGGACTTGAATTGTTTTCTTCATATCTTTCGTTGGATATAGTGATATAAATCTTCCTCATATCTGATTTTTTTCATTCCAGTGAATCTTGATGTTAAGCCACATGAAAAGAGTGCGAAAAGTTTTGATTCCATTGAAGATGTCAATAGCCAGTTATTTTCTGCAGAGAAAAATCAAAATTATGAGATCAAAGACAGTGCTACACCAATGAGTAAGAGTTACCCTGAATCTGATGGTTTAAGACTGAGAAAACCATATATGGAGAAAATTTCAGGTCCAGATACTAGAAAGGAGCAGAAGAATTCATGTCAGGACAAGACAGGAAGTGATCCAGAAAGTAGGCTTGGGAAGAATGTTCCATCTACTGGCAAATCCGACCAGCTAAAGAAACACTCAGTAGTGGGAGTTGAGACTTTGCAAGAGAGCTCTAAAAGTATTCATTCTGGTGGGGCCTTCAGCATTCCGACTGAAGTAAGTTCGTAACTCCTGTATATATAATAAAAATAGGGTGTTCTCTCCATAAGGTGGCATCTTGTTTGAAATTAACAGCTTTGCTTACAATTTGCATTGCTAAGCAAGTTAAAAACAGGGAAAATGAATGGTTCTGATTTATTGCCTAAGTAATCCTCAAAGGGATTGTACTCAAATATGTGCTCATGAAAAAATATAAACCATCAATTATTATCTTAGTATGTGCCTGTTGAATTTTATTTATTTGAATGTCTCTGAGCCATTATGACAGAAAAGCAATCATATCATGCCTTAAGAAATCAACTACTTGCTTTACTTGATGCAGCGGGTTAATGCTGCCCTTACGAGTGATAATATGTATTTGTTCTATAGTTAATTGCAAGGATTCAATTTTGTTTGGGCCGGTTTGTGCTGACTGTTATTACTGGTCCAGGCATGAACTGAGACATGGACCGCCCCATTTCAGATGGTCTGGTTCAGTCCTTTATTTTAAATGGCTTCATATTTTGTTTTTTTGTTTTTTACTTCTCAACGCCCTGAGTCCTTATGTGCCTTTAGGGTCTGCACGAGTGTCTTCCTCTTTGCTCTCCACAACCTGATCGCTGTTTCCTGTCTGCTGTCACCTCATTTCTGGCACTTCTTGTCCTTCTGTTTCTTCTCCTTCTCTTCCTCTGTTGCCTGCTCCTCCTCCTCCTCCTCCTCCTCCCTTTCCTTCTTTTTTTCATTCTTCCTTTATTTCATTTCTTCTTCATTCCCCCCTCCCACACATTGGTACCATGGTACACAGTGCACCATGTGTCAGTATCGCTAGCATGGATCGGTTCCATACCGGATTGGTACAAGTTTGCTATCTGAAATTGCATTCCTTGGTTAAATGTCTATGATTATAATTATTGCTATTAATTTTGATAGGTTGTCCAACATTGACTACTAAGTTCTCACTTAAGGTTTAACTAGTTTATGTGCCAACTCTACATCTACAACTTCAAAGTTTGCTTATAGCTAATTTCATGTCGGGTGCTTCTTTTTATTACTATCCATTTAACAGTTCCCTTTCTTGATACTATTACGTTTCATGTGCATGACAGCACCACAAAGGCTTTGCTGTTTTTGATGCTTTCCTTTCTGTCTTTATCCATTCAAACTGTTTCTGAATGTGTAAAAAGTTTCTCTATCCAGTTACTTATGGTATTTTATTATCTTTCCTCCTAATGCAGTGGGTGCCAGTGCCTCCAAATTTGACTATTCCCATATTGAATTTAGTAGATGTAATTTTCCAGCTGAAGGATGGCGGTTGGATCAGGTGTGTTTACTGTTTAGATTATATGGTTAGTTGAGCAAAAAGGTCATCATTTCTGCTTTATGTTACAATTTTTGTTTACACTATTTTAGTTGCATACTAAATGTATGTGTGTTTTCTTTTGTATAGGCGCCAAGCTTTTTGGATCGCTAAGCAGTTATTACAGTTGGGAATGGGGGATGCTTTTGATGATTGGCTTATTGAGAAAATCCAGCTTCTTAGAAGGGGAGTGGTAATTGCTTCTGCTATCAAGCGTATTGAGCAAGTAAGGGAAGCATTTATCATACTGAATATAAGCATAGCTGTGCATTTTAAAAAGAAACATTGTGGCTTGCTATCAATTACAAGTGACCTACTGTGGCAATGCTCCAAATATCCTACAATTTTCTCTCCTTGTGTTCACATGCACTATTATTATGGTGAATTGTAGTGTACACAAACATTTCAATTACATCTCATTTTTACACTAATACCTTCATTTTATGTGGCTTACTAATATACTTTTAGTTCCACTAAATATTCTGACCTAATTTTTGTCAATTGAACAGATTCTCTGGCCTGATGGAATTTTTTTAACTAAACATCCTAAACGAAAAGCTCCAACACCAGTTTCTTCACCGGGCACTCAGAACAACCAAAACGCTAATCCATTGACTACTGAACAACAGCTAGAAGCTGATCGCCGGGCAAAATTCGTTTATGAACTAATAATAGGTAAAGCTGATTCTTTCATTGTTACCTTTTAGTTAGTCAATGTATATTTAATCTATATTGCAAGCAGGAAAAGATTAAGCAGTCAGTATGATATCTATTATATACTGAGGCTAGAGTGGTGATATAGTTATACCAATACCTGGAAGTGATGTTTGCAAACAATGGAATATTGAACAAAGGGTTGTACTTTTTCTATCTGTGACTTGATACCTTTGGTTCCGTTGGTTATTCTGTCAAAAAGGAAGTTCCAGATGGCAGCTGGTTAAACCCTATAACGGAACTTGAATCTGTAGAAATACCTTTGCTCTTTATCTTCTCAATCATATTGGTTCCTTTTTTCCCTTTTTTGTATGTGTTCTTTTTCTGTTCCTATGTGTGTTCTATAAAATATAAAATTAAATAATTCAATATACAAATGTGGTAATTAACTTTCACACTCTATCTTTGCATACAATAACTTGTGATTCTTTTGCTTTACTTTGACACACGAGAAAGCTCTACATTTAAGTTGTTTAGTGCTGTGCATTTCAATTTTCTAATGCACACTTGTTTGAAGTTTGTATCTCTGCTATCCTCTGTGAGTTCAGCATGTTTCATCTTGTTTCAATTAAATGAATGATACAGCAATGTGCCCATGACTAACTTTAGCGTGAGAAGTAAAAAATCATAAGAATTAATTGGTTCATAATGCTTTGCTAATGCCTAAGACCTAATGAGTTTTGTCGCTTAAAGAATCAATTTACTTATAAGCAATAAATAAAAAAAGAACAGGTAGCTTTTTTAACTTTGTCAATGTATTACATATGATGCTATGTGAAATACTGCTAATATTGTTCTCTACACAAGTTTCATGTGTATTCCTGACATTGTGATTTCCCAGTGCTTCTAACATTCTACAGTACTTTCATTCTTTTTCTGCAGATAAAGCACCAGCTGCTTTGGTAAGTCTTGTTGGCAGAAAGGAATACGAGCAGTGTGCTCAGGATATATATTTCTTTCTTCAGGTACATTTTAAAAATGGACTGTGTAAATATTAAGCATGTGAGATAACGAGATGCAGCTAGAATCTTTATATGCTCGAACTTACTATGTTTCATGTCTTGAAAAATAAATATAAATTCTGGCCTGTCGAGTCGCAGACTTGGGAAACTTGGCAAGTCATGGACATGAAAATCTAATAATTTTTATATTCAGAAGTGTTTAACGTAGTAAAACACTGAATTAGATTGTTATTGTGAATATGATACCCTGTGGTCTTGTTCTTGTGAATTAGATTGTCATCTAATAATTCTTAATCAAGTGGTCTTGTTCTTGTGTACAGTCCCCTGTTTGTTTGAAGCAGTTTGCACTAGAACTTCTGGAGCTTCTGTTTTTGTCAGCATTTCCTGAACTCAATGATGTTGTAAGGCGATGCCATGAAGATAATCAGCAGCTGGAATCAGAAATCAATCAATGAACACTCTTATACAGGACCATGACTGATGATTCATGGGGGGTGGACCGGGTGGTATGCTTGTTTGGACCAAAGTGGTGGGTGAGTTGCCGACTCTCATCAGTAAATACCGTCATGAAATCTGGCAAGACCATGACTGATGATTCGTCGATGCATTTACTTGGGAAATATTGTGCATAAGCATTAAGGTATTGGCTTGCATACCTAGAAGCTGGTTTCTCCTGGCTGCAAGTCGGAGATTTTTGAGCGCTTGGTCTGGTAATTATAGCAAAAGTTTTGTATTTTTCTGTTGAATGGTGCAGTTATATAGTATTCCTTGGCTCTTCATCTGCAAGAAGCCCTTTTTTCTGTTTTTTTTCCGGGGGTTATGGAGGCCTAATTGTATAGTCTTTTGTTTCTTTTTTTTTATAATGTTTTTAAAGATTTCGGCACGTGATTCAGTAACCAAATCAGTGGTGTAAAGATGACGGATGTGATTGGAACACGTAATCTCCAACTTATTTAACTTGCCCTCTCTAATTTTGTTTGTTTAAAATATTGCTGCCTTAACTGTTATTCTCTTTACTAATTTTCATTTCATCCGAATCCCAGTTTTATTTGGACACGGATTCTGTGCTGGTGTGCATTTGTGTGCCTCTTGATTTTTTCTGGGTGGCCAAATCGAATAATGTTCGAACACTCTACCTGTGATTTGAGACGCCACGCAATTTGTGTTCGTCGAGTTCTGTCGGCTCGACTCCGTTCGTAGACGTTAGCGTCCAAGTTTCTTCCCAAAAAAATCGACGTGGGATCCACACGGGTGTCGTCGCTCGTCTCCAATCACAAGACCGGTAGTGAGGCGGGCGCACTAACCGGATGCGAAACTGGTTATCGTTTAGGGGAAAAACCAGACGGTTTCCCCCGCGCCCTGGCAGCGGAAGGCCACTTTACCGCACCGTGGCGTGCGCAAGATCACAGCCACACACGCTCGCACCTCACCTCCTCGCTTGCCCTTGGCCGGCCCCCTCCCCCGACCTGGGAAACAGAAGCCAATGGCTTCCGCCTCTCTTTCCTTGCGGTATGCACTCTTCTCCTCTCTTCCTTTGTCCCCATCCCATGCCGCAAACGAGGCCGCCCCGCCTTCTGTTATCGCCTCCAGGCCGTCGCGGACCGCTGCAACTCTGAGGCCGCAGCCGATCCGCGCTTTATCTTCGTCTTCTTCCTCCGCCTGCTCATCCGGCCGCCTCGTCGCCTTGGCCAGAGCGTCGTTCCCCAAGATATCCTCTGGGATCGATGAGGATCCCGCGACCGAGAAGTTCTTGCGCAACAATTCCATCTCCGACTTCATGCGCTTCAAGAAAGGTCAAGTCGGTGGCCACTCTGGTGAATTGCAGACCGCCGTCGTCAGCTACCGGAAGCGGTTCCCATGGTCGTTGCTCCATCCTTTTCTTGAGGTAGTGCTGGCTGTCTTCTTCTTACCGCTTCTTTTGGTTGTAAAGGATTTGATTATTGATTAGTGCGAGTTTGTCTTTGCAGGTTGATTTGGTGTCGACGATCCATATTGCAGACAGACAGTACGTTGGTTTCTCCCAAAGATAAATCTGTTCATTGTTCTGTTAAGCTTCTTCTTTACTTTGTTTAATTTAGTCCATCATTTGGTACTCTGATTTGTCTTGGATGCTTGAAGTCAATAATTTCACGAACTGGATGTGGTTAGACAAAGCAAATTGCCATTAGGCTATGCATCCCTCTCTCGTTTGATATGCTACTTTTATCTTTATGTTATGATGCGGTCCAGTTGAATGCTATTCTGCATGTTTTTTTAGTTTAAAATGCATGGACTTTGAGACAGACTTACGAGCTGTTCTTCTTACTGTTGATTTTTAATCTTCACTACTGCTACATTACTAGTCTCAACCATGTCTAGAATATTTTACACTACTGTTCCAACCTAATATGCAAAATTTATACTCACTTTGCTGCATTCTCCCACATATATTTCATAACTACGGATTATTTTCGATCAAAAATTGTGTGGCGGGGGAAGCTATTTAAGATGTGGCACGACATGTTCGAGAGAGAGGTATAGCTACATCGTTAGATGAGGCAATTTGACCAACATTGGCATTAGGACGGATAGAGGGAGGTCTAGCAAAGTTCTATTAGAAACACTGAAAAGAGATCTGCTGGCTTTTAGTTTAACTAGCAACATTTCCTTCAAAAGAGCTCAACAACAGGAAATTTAATGTAGTGACCCTTTGCTGTAAACCCTCCTTATGGCTTGTTGTTGTTGTTGTTGGACTTGTATCACCTGTTTGCTCATTATTCTTCTTTAGGGATTTATAAGTTTTTACTGGGGCTCTTGGAAGTTTCCATGTCGCTGATTCCACTATGCTGAAAGACAATACTGATTCAACTTTCTCATGAGCTTCTGAAGTTTCTCTGAGTTATGGAATTCTTCTCTCTTTAGAAGTTTGCTTTAAGTTGCTTAACTAAAGATTCAATTGATATTCCTTGTGATAAATAATGACATTGGTACAATAGTGCTTTTTGCTAGCTTGTTTTGTGTTCAAAGTTCTTTTTCATCCTCTTAATGAGACTTACCAATAATTTGTTTTGGTATGCAGGTACTTTGAGACTCTTCAAAGAGGACTTGAATATTATGATTGTGTCCTCTATGAGATGGTAGCAAGCAGGGAAAGTCTAGAAAATAGAATAAACTCAAAATCCAAGGGAAAACTGAAATCCAAACGATCCAAAGGCTTCAATATTATTGGATTCATTCAAAGGCAGATGGCTAGAATTCTGTCACTTGATTTCCAATTAGATTGTCTTGATTATGAAAGTCAAAAGTGGCAACATGCTGACCTTGATTATGAGACTTTTAAATTACTTCAGGTACTTAATATCTTGATTTTCTCTTTGTTTATTATGTATGTGATGCATACCACTTGAAATAGTAAATAAAACCTCCAATCGTAACCTAATTATGGAGGTTCCTAGAGCCATTAATCTAGTAATCTGTGTTGCTTCACCTTATTTTGGTACCCACTGCACCCATGAATCTTTTTAGTGTGTAGGAGTAGATTGTCTTATATCGTCTTGTCTCTGAACTTCAATGCTAAGTTTATATATAAGAAACTTATACATATGGATCTGGTTTGCTTTACTTTCTTTTTAATGGCTGAGGATGTGCTCAATGTGCTTGATATTTTTAACACTCTACATGTTACTTGCCCTTTTTTCCAGGATGAAAGAGGTGAAAGCTTTTTCACGCTAGCAAAAGAAATGACCCTCAGATCTACAAAAACCTTGGTTCAACCTGTTTCCACAACAGGTGATCTTGGTCCTTGGAAATCTAAGCTACTTTGGGCTTCACGTGTATTGCCCATGCCACTTGTTGGACTTCTCATTATTAGTAGCGTATGTTCACCATTTGAAAGTTACAGCACAGAGTACTCTGAACTGGAAGCACTTTCCAGACTTGATATTGGAGCAGCATTGAAGATTTTCTTGGCCAAGCGGCTAACATCTGAGTGAGTGTATCACCTCCTGTATATGGTCCTCTCGTATACATCCCATATTTTAATGTGCAGTTCCAGAATCATGAACAGTATTTAGGGATTGTGAGTGTCCTTTCAGTGTCCTTGTAATTGATTTTGTTTCCATGTTGAAGTGGCAGGCAATTTATTAGAAATTGAGTTCTTCAGTTTTATGTTAGTGGCATATCATATTTTTTATTGGGTGCATGTAATATGACATGAATAGTTCTGTTAATAATACCAGAATGGGCATTAATGCCTTGTCATGTTACATTAGATAATGTTACCATAATTTACCCTGTGGGAGTATTTTACTTTCTTTGCATAGCCTATGGGCTCTGTTAATTAGGATGAGGACTCGGACACTTCGGTTGAATTAGGCATATCATCGGACTAATTTTTTTTGTGTAGTAAAGTCCTTTTGATGTTGTATTCACCAAACAATTTTTATTGACAGTGCAATTTTAGATGTCCCCAATGTATATATTACTGTGCTAGAGATTTTTTAGCTCTACATGTTAGATTCTGAAGTTGCACACAAATATCTCCAAAATTTTCTTAGTGGGATAAATATCTTATACAAGAGAGTATCAAGTGCCTAGCCAAGATACCACATCACTTAGTGGGATTTCCAAGATCAACAACAAAGATCCCAAGTCATTTTCCAGGAAAAAAAAGGGGATTAGTTTAATAATCTAACAAGGTTCTTATAACTTCTCTCCGGTTGAAATTCTTTGGCAAGTTTCATTTTCTTGAGCCCACACAGTAAAAGAAAAGTTCTTTTAACTGAAACAAAAACAAGTCATTGAAATTTGTCTGATATACTTCATTAAAAATGTGCAAATTATGTGCAAATGTGTAGGCCCTTAAATATGCAAACTATGTGCAAATTTTTAAATAAATGATAGGCATCCCCGTGAGTCTTTTAAATGAATGCAATGTAAGTGTTTGGTTAATTCATCTTTACTTTCTGTTTCACATACGAAATTTTCTATATGGATTGTTCGTTTGATATCTAAGCCTAAAATGCTCATTTTATGAAAAATGATATCTAATGGGTATTACCTGGGGAAATTCTTGTGAAGGTTTACTGAAATAACTGCGGCTATAGAGGAAAAATCAGTGATCATTGGTGAAAGGAACAGAGTTGCAGCTGACGAACTGAGGAGAGCGATAGACAATGGGCACCAGAGAATAGCAGTTCTCTATGGAGGAGGTCACATGCCAGATCTTGGTAGACGACTGCGAGAAGAGTTTGACATGGTCCCTTCTCATGTGCAATGGATAACAGCATGGTCCATAAAGAACAAGAAGCTCGACAGCCAGTCCTTGCCATTCCTCAAGGCATTGGCAAAACTTTTGGGTTGGCCTCTCAACAGGTATCAGACACTGGCTTTGTTAATATTCTCATCTCTTCTTGCGCTTGATCTTTGGTTCTGGGAGCTGTTCGTTCAGACTGCAATCAACTTGGCTTCTTCAGCTGCATTTGAAGTTGGTCTATCGACTAACATCATGTGATTTATGTGATCATTTTATGCTAGGAAAACTGCTATGACCTTTTTATGTATCTTCACATACAAAAAAAGGAAGGTTAAAGCTAATCTTTTTGTTCCACCACTATTCCTTTTGTCCAAAAAGTCCTGCAGGAAATCTCTCAATAGCCACTTGTATGTACCATTTAATTGCCTGATTCAGCAACCTATTCATTTGCTCGACAGATGTTAAAATGATCTAAACCTTCTGACCAGATTATAAAAGGATTGTGGGGCAATTGATATTACCTTTTTTATGTATGTTGGTGAATATATTTGGACTATCAAATTGCACTTAAACTGGTGGTTTTCTTCCAGTGTTGCCTCCTCATTATATCTCAGGATAATGACTTCAATTCATCAACCAGTGTAGTAGTATCTATCTTGGTTAGGTGATGCTGGCCTTGGAGAATCATGCCTTTGTAGGAGTTTGGTTGTTGTTTGTTGATGAGGAAGAGCCCCATCCTTGAATTGAGATGCTTCTTCGTTGTGCTGTTTACTCATCTCTTTTATTTATTCGCTTAACTACAGTTGCTTATTATAGATTAATTTAGTTATTCTAACTCTAATTCAACCCACACCCAGAGAGTTCAACTCTAATTTCTCCAAGAATGTGGTGCACCAAATAAATTCAAGTGTTCAAAATTAAAATTAAAAATACTGAAAATTATCATATTGTTCATGTCGATCATCAAAATCTGTAGTCCACAATCATCCCACTTTTCTCATCTTTTTTATTAGAATTAGTATTAAATAATTAATGTAATCGAATCAGGTGGGCATTTAAGATTAGAGGAGAGAGTCATCCTTCGTAACCCCCTATGAAGGGGTCTGTAGAATTTGGATCCGCTTCTTTGGGCGTCCGATAAGGTACTGGTCGATGGATCTCAGGTCCATCATTGCATGACCCGTCCTCTCTTCGCGAACCACATCCGACCCGTTCGCGACATTCCATGATGGCCACTGACTACTGTGTCTCCGCTGAGGCAGGAAACAGCCAGTTTACGATTTGATGACGTCATGAAGTCGTGCATGGGAGCGTGTTTCGTGGCTTTCTCGATACAGGAGATCTTCAAGTCTTATCTGTTGCTGATCGCACAAAGGGCTCAGCCGAAGGGCACATTTCGGGTGCAGGCGCAGACGCGACGCGATCGTAGTGCGATGCTCCTCCATCACCGAATCCTCCACCCTCGCCTCCTCTTCCCCCCCTTCGTCTCCTTCTCCGCCCTACCGGCTGGGTCTCTCCGGTCCGGCCATCCCCTCCTACTCCTCGCCTCCGGAAGAAGGAATCCCGTCTCCCTCCTCGCCCGTTCCCATTCCTTGTCCACCGTAGCCCAGCTCGCCGTCTCCACCCCTTTGGAGGTCGACGCCCCAATCCTACGGCAGATAGCTGACGAGGAAGATGGCGGGCCCCAGGTCCAGATTCCCTTCGACAAGCTCTTCGTGCCGCCCGGGGTAGACTTAGCGGAAGCGGCGTCGATGGCCAGCGGGAGAGTGCTCCGAGGCTCCAACATCGTGCTCGGACCTTACGCCCGCGACGCCCAGGTCGCCACCGCCGAGTTCATCAAGAGCAGCACCAAGACGGAGGAGTGCCCCACGGATGGCCTCCCCGAGTTCGCCCTCGTCGGCCGGTCCAACGTCGGCAAATCCTCCCTCCTAAATTCCCTCGTCAGGAGGAAGCGGCTCGCCCTCACCTCCAAGAAGCCCGGTCAGTTTCCTTTTATCCACTGATTCTTCTTCTGGATGATTCCGTGCATGATTTCTCAGCTAGGGTTTATAGGGTTTAGTGGACAACAGGCATTCGATGGGTACTGTTAATATAGATAAATGCGTTTCCTACTGATGCGGAGTATTTTTTTCGAGATACCTCAATTTGTGGCTTTGAAGTGTTTCAATTATATTGAGAATATCTTCTTCTGTTGCAGGAAAAACACAATGCATTAATCATTTTCGTATAAATGATAGTTGGTACCTGGTGGATCTGCCTGGTTATGGGTATGCCTCTAAAACCGACTTGTATTTTATTTTCTCTAGCTGTTTAGATTGTTAAGTTATATTGCTCGGAGACACACTTCTATGTACCAGCGATTCGGTGCTGGTTATTCATGGAATGTATTGTATTGTAGGTATCCTAACCTCAGTTTGTGTTAAATGAATCTGGAAGATACTTGCTTTTCTCAATTAACTACAAAAAAGAAATTAGTTTATCATTTGACTGGTGGTTTTTTTATCCCTCACATGCGTATCAGTTAATGGACAAGATTAGTGATAAGGATGTGGCATTTCATTGCTTCCAAAGCAGGTCCTTCAAATTAAGTACCTCATCTTGACAATTAACCTCATTATTGTTATGATTATGTGAAGATGGCAACTTTAAGCCTTGCGGAGGAGTCATAACAAGCTCCCAATAGCTTCATTTTCATTCCCATCTTCAACCTGTGGCAAAGCACACACTGTAATCTTGTAAATTATTTGCTTGTCCTCCAAAGCAGGTGCAGCAGATGATCAGAAGAGGGACTTGTGATCCATGGTGGTATATAGGTGCATATATATGTAGCTAATTGATAGAGTTAAAAATTATGAGATGATGATTCATTGTCATAACCGATATCTATTTACCCATTTAGAAACAATTATATTTATAACTTGCCACAAGATAGTAAGAATTGCAACCAAATTATTGAAGCTCACTAAGAAGAAGACTACGAGAATTTGGTAGAAGTAACTTCAGCAGTTTACACTTTTAAACTCATAGTTCTGCAAAGAGGTACCTCAAATTTTGCATCTTCTAACTCTTGAAACATTTTGGAGCAGATATGCATCTGCACCGCAAGAAGCGCGAGCTAACTGGTATGAATTCACCAAAAACTACTTCCTCAACCGAGAGTCGTTAGTGTCTGTTTTCCTACTTATAGATGCCAGCATCCCTGCTAAAAAGATTGATCTTGAATATGCTAGTTGGCTTGGACAAAATCAGGTATGAATTTTCCCTTTCTGTATTGTAGTTTTTCTGCTCTCCCTTTAATAGCTTCAAGATGTTCCCCTTGTAGAAACATCTAATACTGACTCTTATCAGTTACTGAAGTGTGGTTCTCCAGACATTTATAGCAGCAATAATGATGGTGTCAGACAGTCTTACCTACATTGGGTTTACAAATGTAATAGTCTTTGTGAAGTAGCTGACATCAAACATCATAATGTTTAATTTCACTTATCAGTGTTTGTCAGCTGTTGGCAACTAGAGTAGATTGCAAACAACAATGTGCATACTATTGAAGGAATACCACTTGTTAACGTAGAAACTAGAAGGCAACACTGAACCCTTCCACTTAGGTTTACATTGAATAATTGGTTTCTTGTATGTGTTAGAGTGAGTCAGTTTCAAAGTGTCATGGGTTTATTTAACTCGAGCTTTAGTTGCACCATGGGGAATTCTGTAGGATTTTTATATTTACTTCTGATTATCATGTTGAAACACATCAAATGGAGTTCAACCTGATGCTCATAAAGTGATTTAATCAATCCTAAAAGGAACCAAATCTTCTTAGCAAAAGAGGTTTCAGATAGAGTCATTATCAGGTTGTTATTCTCTATCTAAAATCCGAAATTACAAAGAGAACGGTTTGATTGGTATCTGTTTGTAGCAGGATACATGTTCTAGTGGAGAGGGAACTTTTGTTTCCTTGGGTCAACTGGTCTTATTTATCTCTCTCTTGTTAGATTTTGATTTCCTTGAAGTACAATACATTAAAAGAACATCTCTTATTGCTTTTGTTTTCTCTCTCCGTAGATGGAGTAATTTTTGCTGTGTCTTTTGCGAGGGTTAGTCAGTAAAGTTCAACATTTCTTTTGAGTTCTCTTCATTAAATGTTTGAGCTCTATTTGTGTTCTCGTTTGGGAATTCATTAGCATCTGTTGTTACTGTTGTTGGAGTCCAGTTGATATACCAAAGGTGGCGGCTAGCTTGGACCTTGGTTAAGTAGACTTCCCTTCTTAGATGAACTCAAGCTCTTTATTAGACTTAGCTTCTGATAGTTTGATTGCAGATAGACTGAATCCGCAAGCTATTTCTTGGTAGAATCCATTTCTTATTGAGGCTCTTAGTCTTGAGCTGATTGATGTCTTTTTATTCCACCAGTGCTTAACACATTCTAAGTATGTGTGATGCATGACTACTAACGAAAGGCTTAGATCTGGAGCAATTCTAGGATGCCTGTCATGGTTGAGGATGGCGTAGCATGCACCATATGATGGCACCCTAGGTCTTCCTTGCATCATTACAGATGTTGCTTGTTTATATTTAGAAGTTATCTGCATGATACCATTGTGACTGGAATTTGCTTTCTTTGAGTTGGCTGACTGTCATTCTGTACTCTCTTTTACCTTGTTCTTTAGTTATGTTGCCATAGAAAACAATTCAATGGAAAAATAGTTCTTGTTGCTCTTGTTTTCTATTTTAGTGTTCCATTTACTTGCGTACTGCTGTTTATTTTCTGCTGAGAGGCAGCAGAATCTTTATTTGTTCCCCTGTGGCTACCAAAATGCTTCATTCTGGCATCAGATCCATCAAAGAACTGTTGTGGCCTTGTGTTCTGCTTTACTATCCTACTTGGTCACTGCTGTTTATTCTCTGCTGAGACTGAGAGCCATCTGTATTTGTTCTTCTTCCTCTATGGCCTTCCTAAATGCATCATCCTTGAAAAATAAGTCAACTCTAGCTGAAAGTGACTATTGGTAGGGAGTGAACTTTTTCCAAAGCATCCAGCATGATTGCAACATTGCTGCTCTAGATAATTCATCTCCTTCATTCGTATCGTGTTACTATGACATTGATGTCTTTAAAGCTGCAACATCTGTATTACTTGTCCCTCTGCAAGAGGCACACTTTGGTTATATCTACGCAACATTTTTGCATCAAGTAGGTGGGTAGGTACTTTGAGAATATATCCTTATCTGAAGATTTTGACATCATCTTTTTTTTATCATTGACCTGTCAGATTCCAATGACACTACTATTCACAAAGTGTGACAAACGTAAGAAGAAGAAGAACGGTGGTAAAAGACCTGAAGAAAATGTTGAAGATTTCCAGAAATTGATACGCGAATATTTCAAGGAAGCACCGCCTTGGATAATGACCAGTAGTGTCACCAACCAAGGCCGGGAGGAGATATTGTTACATATGGCCCAGTTGCGGAACTACTGGCTAAAACATTAGGATATAGAATGTAGTCCAGGATCACTGCTTTGCAATGTAAATTACGCACAAATGCTGCTGTTAGAAATTCTCCAATCAGGATAAGGACCTGCATTGCAGACCTTGTTCTCTGGAGGTTGTCGAATCTGCTATGGTTTGACCTACACATATTTCACATCAATCGTATTGGTATAATTTCACCTTCATCGCTCAAGAAGCACTTCCAATGAGTCTGCTTCATGTCTGAGGTAACAGGAATACAGTGTTTTAAGTGACCATTTTGCTTGTGCTTTTTGCTTGGCTTCAGTTGTCTTTTTATTATGTTTGAACTTGGAATATATTGGATGATCCATTCAACTACATCCTTTTTCTTGAAGATTACCCTCTCCGGATTCAAGTGGAAATGCCATCGACCTACTCTGTCTGTGAATGTTTGTAGGTGTTTCATCTTAGGCTGCTACAGATTCTGCATACTTAGTGTTGTTGACGATTGCTTGAAACTGCCCACAGGTGCTTTCTGACAATTGGGAATGTGGTGTAACATCTTCGAAAGGCACCATCAGGAATGACATCAACTCTGCAACTCAACCCTCCAGGAAACCAACTCCAGCAAGCAGCGGAATTTACCGGTAATAAATACGATGCTTACTTAAGAGATCAAGAAATGGAATTGTTCTTCCTGATATCATCGATCATTCTACGGTGACTTGACAGACCGAGCTGCGCTCATGCAAGGATAAGTTGATCGAGGAGATTTGAGTGGTCGTCATATGCTTGCCAAATAATACAGCATCTATCTGCATCGATGGAGTCCCATGCAGCCGTCCCTTTCCCCCTTCCCACTCCAAAAGCACGGTGGACCGCTGTGCGTGCGTCACCGTAATGGGTTCGATCTTTACAGCTACGCACCCCCTCTCCTTCCCCTCTCATCACGTCACTATATGTTTCGTTTGTCCGGCAACCACTCAATCAGTCTCACAACATGTGTATGACCCACGCAATTACCACTATATTGGCCGGGTTTGGCTGCTTAGAGCCTGATGGGACCCATTTGGAGCTCTGCTCCATCCCTCGTTCACCTCCACGCCATGGACCCTCTCCCTGTCCTCGTCGACGAAAGAGAAGCCCCACGGGATTCCCTGCCTCGTTATCTTGAAGTCCAACGCCGCCCCAACGTACAAAAACCAACGGCGGCCCCTCCTTCCCTTATCCGCTCATGTCTCGCGATCGACCCAATCACTGCCCTCACTTCTTTCTCTCTGCTCACGGCGTATGACTCTCTTTGGACGGAGCTTAAGCTTAAAGCTTCTTCGTTCGCTTTTTGCATGAGGACAACTAGTACACCAGTGTCGAGGCCTCAGGGATACTGATGGTCAGTCCATTAACTCCACGCGCTATATCGATCTACTTTCTCTAGTTGAATTTTACTTTACGTACGAGTCATGGAGAGCGACTTTGCTGTTTGAAGATTCTTGAAATTAATATCTATGAAGTACACTATTTTCGAGGATAGAGGTGAGCTAAGCAAGTTTGCGATCAGAAACGAACAATATCTTCCTAAGATGCAGAAGCAAGATGATGTTTGACAGTATACTTTAAGCTCGTAGAGGCTAGCAGAATCCGTGGCCGAGTAAAGAGAAGGGGAAGGAGGCTGCCGCTGCTGTTTCTGAACTCGAACTCGTCGTGCTCAGAGCGAAGTCGGGTAGGAAGCTGATTCCGCTTGCATGATTGGGGCCGATGATGCTCGCCTCCGGAGCTGTAGCGAGACCACCGAGCTCAGCATCGTAGCTATGGATGGCAGAAACATCGGGAACAAATGCAAATGGCTTCACTTCCTCGATACTCATCCGATCGCTTCCGGTGCCTAATGTCTCGATCACAGTTTGTTCTGTCCCTGGAACCAGAAGAGAAGGTAGGAGGAAGACTCCATCGTTAATTGCATGAGCAGGAGGAGCAGCAGCAGTAGCAACAAGACGCCTCTTCTTCGCTGCTGCAGACTGCTGCTTCTTGGAGATCACGAGCCCGGAGAATGACTCAGGGTCCTCGGCCATTTTGATGAGGAAGGACATCATCTGGTGTGGCCTCCTTTCAGTAGCCTGCAGTCGCCTGCTCATAACCTGTAGCTCTTCGTCGAGGGCCCTCTGCTCCTGCCGCAGCCTATACAGCTCTTGCAGTAGCGTCTTCTCAGCCTCCCCTTCCACGTCTCCCTTCTCCTCGCCACTTATGCTGCTGCTGCTGCTGCCTGCACACAGTCCAACATGGCTCTTCTTCGACCGTCGTATGACGTGAGGAAGGAGGTGAATCTGCCCTCGGAGGAACAAGTGGTGAGCGAACTCCCATCTATCCGGATCGACCTTCCTGAATCCCTGAACGGAACAATAGAAGACGGACATGGTGAGCAGATGTGACACGACGGATCCCCGGCGGGAAGAGAAACGGAAGAAGAGACACCGACGTAGGTATTTAGCTGGCGGACGAAGCTGGAGAAGTTGCTGTGCTTGAAATAGGAGGGTAGCAGGAACTGAGAGAAATCGCTGGGATTCACCACCACGAAGCTGTTGTTCCCCTTCCCCCACCGGATCAAGCAGTCCGTCCTCGGATCGTTCACCATCTCATACGTCTTCGCCACGAAAGGAGACGCCTGTACTTGGTAGCCAACGCTAGTATTACGAATCTCTTCCATTGCTCACCCAACTCTCTCTCTCTCTCTCTCTCTCTCTAAGATATAGGCGATATGAGTAATCGAACGAGTCCCTGTTGTCTTTGTGATCTTCCCCAAGACCTCATGGACAGTGGTAACACCTGAAAAGTTGGAATATATAATACTCAGAGACCCGATCTGTAGGTTTTGCGGGGCACAGAGAGGGGTCAGCAGGACGGAGACAGTGGACGCGTGTCATCTTCTTGCTCCTCCTGATACTAACTCTACGATCCAGTGGAGCTCACAGAGCACTCAAAATCCCATCTTTATCGTTGCCGATCTTATTATATTGATGAAACCATGATTTTGCGTCTTAGTAATTTGGATTTGGTAAGTAGCACAGTAGATCTCGTGGCCTCTCTCTCTCTCTCTCTCTCTCTCTCCTCCAAGACTTTAGCTACCCTCATGTGATGGATACAGGAAGGAGCAGTTGCTGTGACGTCCATCTCTGTTTACCAAACAATGGCCAAGGACGAGGAGACGCAAGAGTCGCAAGTCATCCGTGACTGCACGGTGTGAAGACTCGATATGCTGCTGAGGAGAGGATCGTCCGCAACACAACCGTAAGGATACTTGTCGTACACCAAAGCACCAATAAATGCTGGTGTCCTCTGTGTGTAAGATTTAAGAATGGTCCTCTTTTACGGGAAGGTCATGTCGAGGCTATGCAACATTCAACCCTATGATATGGAAATGTACGGAGCCACCGTCGATCGAAGGAGAGAGCGTCGACACTCTGTACTCGCCCACTTCCACCAAACTGAGGCAGATGTTTTGTACTGAAGCTACTGAAATCACCAACTTAATCATTTGATCTTTGTTTCGACTTTGGAGGGTTTGAACATGCAACTATTTTCCTGTTTCTACAAACATCTTCGATTAGGTAGGTAGGCATCCTCCTACGATAATAATGACAGTCACGATTACAACTTAGCCATATCGGCTACGTCAAGATTACGTTTTTATTGATTGAATTTTTTACCATCAATAGTATTAGCTTTTGAAAGATGACGATACATCAACATCACATGATTGATACCTTAGTTTTACATTATTGACTTACACTCGATATCTTAATATCATACGTTCGATATATATATATGACAATGTGATATCCTCGATTCGACACGATACGATCGTGATCGTGACAGAGAGAAACACGAGATTATTTTCTATAATCAATGTTGGACATACGAATAATGATCCTAAGATCCCACTATGAAAGGTTTCCTTTGATACTTGTAATCTCTAAAGACATTTGAATACTACTTTAGAGCTCCTTTCTAACCTTTCAAATTTCGACATCTTTGAACTCGAATAAATCAGCTATCGACCAAGATCAAATTGAGATAGACATGAAAGAACAATCACAATCGACATCGAATTAGTTTTCGATTCGAATAATTAAAAAATGACTTGACAACTCTTGCGCTCTAAATTTATCAGTGAAATGATGCGATTATTAGCTTTCAAGTGTGAGAGGGTGAAATCTTATTGGGATCAAAGTATCAAGACGACAAGAGACACTCTCTCTTCTCCACTGACGTTAGCTGATCGGTGCCATGGCATTATTCGAGCGATGATCTAATTTTCCTTCAGAATTGTTTATCGTGAACTCCCATCTCGTGACAGTCCACAAGCCTTCTAACTGCTGTTGCCTCCATTAAATGCTCTATGATCGCGACTGATTGCTACAAGACTTCACCTACACATTAACTGCCTCCAATCCCAAGTGCTTCCTTCTTCTCTACACACCCTGCTAAATCCATGTCGATATGGTACTTCGTGTACCAAAGAGGTTCCGTAGACAGTGACCTTCTTCTACTTGGGAGATTTCCCTTAGACAAGATAAAAGAACAGACCAATTCTGTAAGGATCAATGAGGATATATCAGCTTGCAGGGACATAACTATGACAAGAAGATGAGTCACACTGGAATTCTCATAAATATAATAACAACTTATGAAGATGAATCCTTTTGTTTTCTTTCCTTTGCTAAAATAGGATTTAAATGAAAGTGTTGGTGAAATTTTATGTTGTGGTCGAAGAGTCAGCACGGCTTGGTCCACGAGCCAATATTCGGAACTCCCGGAGGGTTGGCGACGCTTTTCTCGATCGGATGGTGGACGCGCCGGGGACGAGCTGAGTCGTCGGTTAGGTTAGTCGCGCCTTTGGGGTGGTCGAACTCTTGCACACAGACCTTGGTCGGGGTGTTCCTGAGTTGGGTCCCTCGTGGATTAAGTCAGTGATCTTCTCCTTTTTCTCCTCTTTTTTTTGTTCTTACCCCTAGCCAGGTGCCGACTAGGGGTTTTTATACTGCTGCCCGAGGATCGATCATGCACGGATTTAGCACAATGGTTAACCCCCGAGTGATCAGATGGTGCCTTTATGTGGGCACCGCTCGGTGAGCGTGGAATGGCATCATACGGCGTCATCCCGAGCTTTTTGAGGTAGAACTTACCGAGGGGGCGCCTTCCTGTGCGAGCTTTGGTTCGGTGTGAGGAGTCGGTCCTCGTACTGACTCGATAGGAGAGTGACGTGGCGTGGGTCATGATGTGGTCGGTATCTAAAATATGTCTTATCAGAAAGTAAAGATGTCTAATACAAAATTATCGAGGATATAAGAGTGAAAAGCTGGTCAACCAATTGGTCACCCGATTGTTTTCCCTATATATCTATCAGACTATAGTCCTCAAAACTATTTAACATAACCCAAATATCACACAAAGTTTAACGGGACTTACACCATTAGATCTATCTGTTGATGTATCGGATCTTATCCGTCACAAAATGGATCTTTCATGATCCATGACTCGAACGGACAAAACCAGGGCTCCCAAAGTCTCAGCAACCCCGGAGCAAAGAATTCTCCCATACGGCGTGCTCATGAGCACAAGACTGCATCCTCAAGTTTGTAGAATTCCATGTCCAGCGTCCATCAAACTCCAAGCTTTTGCTCTTAAAGAATCATTTATGGCTGCCTTAGTGCCCACTCCTGCAAAGCTGCTGCGAAAAGATTGCTCGTGAGTTCGACCGGACTAGAAGATTTCGTAGCTGTACATACTTATCTTCGAATGAGAGCTCAAATCTACTTCGAGGCACTTGGTGTAATGTTTCCTAATCACCATCATAATCCGGAAGGGAAGAAGCAATAGAACGAGGCACTTGTTGATGCTAATAATAGCTAAACTTCACATACTACGTTACATTACATGTACGTAGCAGAAAGAATGGTGCACTCAATGTCCCTTGAGACTCTGAAAGATTGGAAGAGCTTTCCACCGGTAAACCTATCTTAGCTCACATACAATTGATAGAATGAGCACTCATGGCAGTTGAACTGAAAGAAGGTAGGTGAGATGTGGTTGCCTCTCTATCCCAAGCTGCACTCTGTTCCCATGCACGGATCTCTCAGACGATGTGCACGCATGTGTGCTGTAGCTACACTTCCCACCCTCTTCCCACCTTCCACTCTATCTACAAGAAACGCAAACATTATATGCTTTCCTCCTCTCCTTAAAGCATCAGCGCCCTTCTCCTTCTTGCTTATTCTGATGCGGAACCGATGGAACCATCACCACACTTCCCTTGTCTCTCACATCAGACTGCATCAGCAAGCGCAGCTCGGTACTGTCCTTCCGACCCCTACAGCCCACCAGAGCAGCAAGGACAACACTTGTCGTTCGCTTCTGGTGAGCCATCGGGCGTCGACTGGGCCTCGCTGCTGTTGCCGAGGCCGACGCAGGAGGGAGAAGGCGAAACGAGGAGGGAGAAGGGAAGGAGTTCCGGGAGGACGAGGAAGGTCGTGAGCAGACCGAGGTTCGCTTTCCGGACGAGGAGCGCCAACGACGTCCTCGACGATGGCTATCGGTGGAGGAAGTACGGCCAGAAGGCGGTCAAGAACAGCATGTTCCCCAGGTTTGGCTTTCTTCCACCCATCCTTAATGTTCTCGGAGATGGTGAGCAGCTTCCCCGGTGTACAGATCCAACATACATGAAATAATCTCAAGAAATCCCATAGTTCATCACAAATCTATGAGACCCATTAGCGAGCCATGCCATATGCGATAGCTTCGAATAGAAAGGAAGAGGAGCACTACAAACATCGACTACATATTGCTATGCACTTCTCCGTTTCATGTCATTCTGATTGATGGAATTTGGTGTTGTGTTATGAATGAAGAAGCTATTACCGATGTACACATCACACATGCAACGTGAAGAAGCAAGTCCAACGCATGTCCGAGGACACGAGCATCGTCGTCACCACGTACGAAGGAGTTCACAACCATCCATGCGAGAAGCTAATGGAGGCACTGTCTCCTCTACTCAAGCAAGTGCACCTCCTGGCTCCAGTTATGGGAATGCTTTAGCTAGTTCGTGAGGACGAAGATAGACTCGTCATCTACATATTGTGCATACATACTCACCCACACTTGTAATTTGTTTGTGTTTATGATCATGATATATCTATCAATGGGAAATGTAAAATGTGTTCATTATTTAGTACAACTACTTTTCCTGTATTATTTTATTTGATGGATGCATAAAATTATTAGAAATTGCTTGACAAGAAATATTAATATTTAATTTGTGAACGATTGAGTTAGTGAACTCCTAAGGAAAACAATGGTATGCATCGTCATCATGTCCACAACAAATGACATGAATCATAAAGATTTATATAGCAAATAGAGATAAAGGAAGGATTAATATATTAAATTAAAAAAAATAAGAGATTTATGAACTTTAAGTTTTATTAGAGATATTATTATGAATATATATATATATATATATATATATATATATATATATATATATATATATATATATATATATATAATGTCACGGTTTTAGTTGGAATTGCTTAAGGCGTGAGGCACCCTTGCGGCAAAGACGCAAACTTAGCTTGCGTTGCCTGAGTCGCGTTTCGCCCTTTGCGATTTACGTCCGTAAAGATCAGCCCACTTGCAACATTTTGTAGGTCCCGAAAGACTTGTAAAAAGAGAAAGTTGATTAGTTCGAAGAACGAGCGACAGACAAGTCCCGATGTCTCGCGAAGAGGGGAAGCTTTACAAGCAATTCAGCGAGCACCTTGCGTGCACAAGAGAAAAGAGAGGGGGGGGGGGGGGGGGAAGAAATCTTTAAAAGGGTGAAAGAAAAAAACCCCCGTCAAAAAAAGTGCCCCCCGGGGGGGGGGGGGCAAAAAAAAAATTTT